ACATGATCGTGTTTGATCTAGTTGGGAGAAATGTCAACGGTCTTGTAACCTTCAGTATCACACGGGAATTGTTGCTCACGTAGTAGACATTGTGCACCATCTCAGCTAGGATAGCAGTGATATCCCCTGGTTCCCTATCATTGGGACGTGCTGGTCCGAGGTCATCGAGTGGCTTTGACTCGAGGTCATCGCGGGGCGTTGACATCTCGCAGAGGTTGAGATCGGTAGATGGTGAACTAGCGATGAAGGGAGAACTATCAAGTTAGAACGATCCCCTTTCAGGTTTGCAAACATTTACCCACTTCCTGCAATAGCTTCCGTGAAGCTCGTCGAGATGTCCGCTTTCACCGAAAGGTTGAGGTTGTGAGGGCAATGACACGTCCTCACAAATAGGTAGTACGAAAGGAACTTTGCAAGTTTGCGGTCCTCCTGGCGAACCATGAGGCAGTGCCAAGGCTGCCTCTTTGGGGGAGATACGCCCGGCCAGAGTGTGTGTTTTTTCAGATGGCTTACGCTTCATTATCTTGCATCAAACCGGTTGCCTTGCAGCTCCTGGTTGCCTTGGGGCGCGCATCACTGTTCGGGGGCTACTCTCAACCACTGGTCAACGAGATCTTTCCATCTGTCACTTGCATTTCGAAACACTTGATCCTTTTCCTTACCTCAACGACTTTCGACCATATCGACTCCTCTGATACACCCATACTCTCAGATCGCCTTGGCTTGATTGACCAAGACGTAAGAACCACATTCTACCCCGAAAAGAGAGCCTTGTACAATATCCTCCATCATTTGCGGCGCTGAATCTCAAAAGTGTCTGACCTAGCCATCGCGCAGTTTACGTCGGATGTATCATGAGCAACACAGCTATACACATGTGGACGTGCTGCAACTGTCATCGATGCCACCTTTGCAAACATCGAGCTCTGCCAGCCGTCGCCGTCTGCGCTGGATAGTTGGAGCAACGGCCGTGGCAGCGGCAGCGTCTGCTGCAGCATTATACTACGCGGACAGCTGTTCTCAGGGAGGAGAGTACAGTTGGATGTTGGGTAAATGGGTAAGCGGAGGCCCGTATCCTTCATGTACATGAGCCTCTCGCTAACTGGATCAAAGGGAAATGGTAGCCTCAAGTGCTTCTCGGCCGAAAGATCAAACACGATCGCAACGCTTGTCGCCATATCTCTGTACTGCGTCTCGACCGGGATACTGTACGATCTTCAACACCAGAAGAAATACGTCGATGTGTTTCTCGTGTGCGGTATCGCGTTGGGGTTGGCGATTGGCTTTGCAACAAGCTTGACTCCTCGGGAGATGCTCTTCCGCTTGCTCCCCGGACCAGCTCTCGCCGTTCTCGTCATGTCTGGCTTTGGTCCGGATGGAGAGACAGAGGTCAAAGGTTGTGTCAAGACCGTCCCTCTGTGATCTCCATATCTTGAACCAAACTCAACCGCGCAGCCGCCCTGGGCCCCTTGAAAAAGAAACAAAAAAGAGGAGGAAAAAAAAAAGAGGATGTGAGAGGGGCATGGGACTTGGGGTTCTTTACGACAGCCATCTGTCACAGCACGGAGTTCTCTGTTTTTGACCATCTTGCTTCCGTAGCATCTATCCAGAAGATGTCTACGTTATTCTCCTTTGTCAGTTAGTCTCTTCAATGCTTTAGTTACCTGTCTCTGAGTATGATGGTTACATGAACTGCGGCTTCTGTTCCTTCTCTATGGCAACATGCTAGGAACTAGTGAATGTACAAGTCTTGACACTTCTTCTCATCAGAATGTACTAGCAAAAAGGCGACGACTCAGGCTTGAGGTTTCATGTTGTCGCGTATCGATACTCTTAAATGACTGCTCCTTGGTGCCGCGATAAGTTGAAACGCATATAGTCAAATGTTCTTGTACTCAATTTAGCTATGCTACCTACCTAGGTATCCATATCGAACCAACACAACACATGAAAGGCATCCAATGCAACCCCTTCCCAAGTGTCCATTTAATACGTCGCAGTCAACCTCTGTACCAGATAGTCACCGCTCTTGATGCCCTCGTACTTCTTACCCTGCTCAGTCGCAAAAGTGCCCGGAAGAGCCTCGATGTAGCTCTCAAAGTTGGGGTTGCAAAAGTACCTAGGTCCCATCAGCTTAATTCACAGACTTGAACTTTGGATACTTACGCAATGCTGTACCGTGGTGGGTAAGAGTCAGACTCCTTCCGAGGCGGCTCTACAACCCTGTGGATGGTGCTCTTAATAGTGTCGTTGCTCCAGCGTGAGAGGAGATCACCAGCGTTGACGACAACGGTGCCCTCGATGGGCGTGGCGTCGACAAACTGCCCTGTTGGGCTCTTTACTTGAAGTCCACCACGGTTGTCCTGGAAAAGCAGAGTGATGGAACCGTAGTCCTGAAAGTGTCAGCAATCTCAAGCCAACAGACATGTAAACACAACACTTACACTATGCTCGCCAGCTCGCACAGTTAGCGGGTTATTCTTGAAAACTTCAGACTCCACAGCAGGATAGTGAAGAAGTCGTAGAGTGTTGTCGCCAACATCAGTAAACCCGTCAAAGAATGTCTCGTCAAGTCCCATGCCCACGGCGATGGCTCTCATGACCTCGACGTGGAGGTCCTTGCACTGGTGATAGAACTCGAGCATGTCACTGCGAAAACCGACAATCTCGCCATCTTCTTCAGGCCACTGGTTAGGGTGTCCAGGCTCGCCCTCACGCCCAATCTCGTAGCTCTCCTTAAGGTCGGGGGCTGCGTTGCGAACCTTGTCCACCTCACGAATGTCTTTAAGCTGGGAGACCTTTTCGCGTCCAGGAGCAGAGTATCCTCGGTTGGCTTCCGGTGTCGTCCAGTTCACTTTCAGCTTCTTCTCTGTTGGCTGATCAAAGAATTTCGCGGAGAGTGAATAAGCACGCTGCAGGCTTTCAGCTGGCACATGATGGTTCTTGAGGTAGATGAAGCCAGCAGTCTGAAAGCCATTGAGAATAGCCTTGGCTGCATCTTTGCGCTCCGAAGGAGATCCTTTGAGAAAGAGGGAAAAGTCGATGAGCTGGATGGGTCAGCTAGATGGTGACGATCTGTGTGTGGTGACACCTACGGGAATGGAGAGTCCCTCCTTGCTCACGGCGACATCCGAAGTCATGATGGGATAGGCCAATCGCTACAGATAGATAGAGCAATACGATTTGATACTGAAGAGTAGATCTCAAACAGTTTAGAACTGGGTAAAAGGAACAAAAATACAGGAACCAGATTGATCTTCACCGGGTGCAGAAGTCCCAAGGCCACCCTTTTCAACGCCAACCAGCAGCCATCAAAGGGCCAGACCACGAGGGACAAAGCCTCACATAACAAGAACATCCAATGATCGCTACGGGAGAAAGTGTCGCATGCGGTACAGCCTCGGGTGCCGCCGACTGATAAGCAGCGATAGGACCAGGAGTCATGATAACCTTGGAGGGGAGATGCGGGGGTGGCTTTTTGCCGGATACGTCGAGAGTACAGTATGGATCACAATACCACCTGCCTACCTAGAAGGATGGGCCGGTGCTACTCGATGCTTTAGATTCATTCGATATCTACTACGTAGTATGCCGTTGCATATGCCGTCGCATGAGGGTCTTTCGTGCATTGCAGATGAGGGGGATGCATTATAAGACACAAGTACTGATAACGTTTCTTCGGCCTCCTCCGACACCTCAGAGATAAAGCTCGACATACATCATACATCACAGACCATACACTGTCTGTCCTATTCATTCAACACCATGTCGTCCTCTATCCGCGTGGTGGACATCCACACGCACATGTACCCTCCCTCATACATCCGCATCCTCGAATCCCGCTCTTCTATCCCCCTTGTCCGCAAGTTTCCCCAAGCGCCAGACCCCAGACTCATCCTCTTGGAGGCAGAGGTAGAGGCGCTTGAGGAAGCCACAAACAATGTCGAAGCAAAGCCTCCTGGGCGACCTCTCACGTCTCACTATGCATCTCTTGCGCAAAAGATCCATTTCATGGATACTCACAAGATTGACATTTCTGTCATCTCCCTCGCCAATCCGTGGTTAGACTTTTTACATCCCGATGAGGCGGGTGCCATAGCAGAGTCGGTCAATGAGGAATTCTCGAGCATGTGCGGTCAGCACCAGGGGAGGCTATTCTTCTTTGGCACTCTTCCCTTGTCGGCACCGCTTGAGACTGTGTTGGCCTCGATGGAGCATCTCAGACAACTCAAGTACTGCCGTGGAGTCATCCTGGGTACATCTGGACTTGGCAAGGGACTAGACGATCCTGCTCTGCTGCCCGTCTTTGAAGCACTCGCCAAAAACAATCTGACCATCTTCCTTCACCCGCACTACGGTCTCCCAAACGACGTCTGGGGTCCTCAAAGCGCCGAGTATGGTCACGTTCTCCCTCTGGCTCTCGGCTTCCCTATGGAAACCACCATCGCCGTGACGAGAATGTACCTAGCAGGCATCTTTGACAAGGTCCCGGATCTACGCATGATCCTCGCTCACAGTGGTGGAACCCTCCCCTTCCTCGCTGGAAGAATCGAGAGCTGCATCGTGCACGACGGCCAGCTCGTCCGCGAAGGCAAGGTGACCAAGGATCGTCGAACAGTGTGGCAGGTCCTCAAGGAACAAATCTACCTTGACGCCGTCATCTACTCAAAAGTTGGACTCAGTGCCGCTATCCAAGCCAGTGGAGCGGATAGACTAATGTTTGGCACCGACCATCCCTTCTTCCCACCTCTGGAAAGCGATGAGCAGGGCGAGTGGGAGAGCGTCGGCTTGAATGCCGAGGCTGCTGCCCAGGCGGTTGGGCAGGACACGGAAGACTACAAGGCCATCATGGGGATGAATGCCATCAAGATCTTGCGGCTCGACCAAGAGTCATGATTCTAGAAAAACTCAGCATTAGCCTAAACACACAAAACGCCGCCCAGGTGTATTGAGAGTGCTACCGATCAAACTCCGTATCCCATTTTCGTCTTAGTTTCAAGTCATGAAACGGATGCCTGCTCAGCAAACTTGACTTCAGCTTGGTGTATCCTCCTCTTTGCTTCGAGTAGACCCTTCTCTGCTTCTTCGTATTCCTCGGTCGTCACGTTTCCCTTTTGTAGGTTCCTGACTGCTTGGACGGCGCGCAGCTTGTCGCAGACGAGTTCCCAGTAGAGTCTCCGTTCTGTTCCAAAGTCCATCGAAAAGTCTCCTGGCACGTTCATGACGCCGTTGAGTGGCTCAGAAGTCTTTGCCCCGTCAGAAGTCTCAGCCGCCTTTCGTGATTTGCGCAGGAACTTTTCTCTCGCCTCATCCTGCTTCTTCTTTTCCTTCTTTTCCTTGAGGCGTCGTCGCGCTTCAGCAAGATCCTCTATCTCTTGCGCGGCATCAGCTTGTCGCTTCTCTTCCTCCTCGCGCATGCGCCGCTGCTCAAAAAGTCGTGCCCTCTCCTTCTCAATCTCTTCTTTTTCCCGTTGCTCCTTTTCATCGCGCTGGCGCTTCCAGGCATTCTCGCGCGCCTCGAGGTCGTCGACAAAGTGTTTGCGCTGCTTGTCCATGGCCTCGCGCTCCTGCTTCCGCAGCAGCGCAGCCTTGATGGCGCCATCGTAGGCCGCGCGGGCAGCAGGGTCGGAGAGTACATCGCGGGCGCGCTCAAATAGCTGCCACTTCTCGGCATCGAAATTGTCGCCAGCCTTGTCGGGGTGGTACTTTAGCGATCGCTTTCGCCACGCGCGGTGGATGTCTTCCTTTGGGGTGAGGGCGTCGACGCCCAAAAGGTCGTAGATGTCGACATCTTTCGAAGCGTACTCCTGCGCGTATTGCAAAAGGTCCGCTGCCTTGGAGTCGGACATTTTGTGGATCGTGGGTTTGTGCAAGGTTGGAAAGGACAAAGGTTAAAGGCAGTGACGTTAAAACTGAAGTTCGCCATCGCATCGCGAAAGCACGTGACCCACCAGCCAAGAGGTGCCTCACATTGATTAAGAGCAAACAATTGCTTTTCTCCATGCAAAATACTTTGAAATCAGAAAAATCCACTGTATTATCATCAGATCCAAATGGTATATTAACTCATTATTGAAGATCCGAGCCCAAGACACTTGCAGCTACTCAACTCTAAGCAACCTATACCCAAACGCCAACTTATACGCCACACCATCACCTTCAGTCCTCCTTTGTATCCGAGAAATGGAATACATTCGGTGAACCGGCTGAAAGTCTCAGTAGATGCCGCTCATATGGTCCCAGTGGCTCTTCAACCATGATCCGCTGCCTCTTGTCAGTCGGTGCGTTACCCTCGCTACCGACGTACTCCCAAACCCATCGACCTTTGCTCCAGCCATTGGGATCTCCCATGTCGTCCTCTTCACCCTCTGGGTCCCAGCCGGGGTGGAATGGCACAGGATCTTGGTACTTTTCCTGTGTGCGCTTCACCTTCCAGCTCTTGAGCAGTGATGGACAATCCCATACAGTCTTGTCATTCAAACCGAGACCCTGACACGCGAGACGGATGCGCACCGTGCTGTGGATGCGCTCGTTGGTGTCCTGGAGAAACCTAGCCTCGTCGAGCTTGGTCTTGGGGTCTGTCGGCCTGTACAGGCCCGGCGTGCGGACCGTCTGGCCCGAGAGCTTGTACAGGAGGCTGGAGGGCTTGTTAATGGAACCCAGTCCCCAGGGCCTGAAGGGGTGGTTGTTGTCAAAGATGGGGCTGATTGCCCACTTGTCTGGGACACCCTTCTTCTTCTTTTGCTTGGTCTTTTGGGCTTTGGCGTGGGATGCCTTGTAGAAGTCTGCAGTTTGCTGGAAACAACGCTCCAATGACGGCAAGTCAAACTCGACACCGACTGAAGCCAGTTGATCCATCATCCCTGGCACAAATCAGTGTTGTTCGAGGCATGCTGGTGGTGTCACAGGCAACTTACATGCGAGAGTACAGTTGGCGATACCTTGGTCCTCCCATCCACCGCCACAGTTGGCGTGGTTACCAGGAAACCAGACCTGCCTGAGATCCGTCGTGAGTCTGTTCTCAGGGCGTCTCTCCCAAACAGCCGGGCTGAATGGTGGGCGCGTCTCATCCAGAGCCAGTGCCTGGAAAGCATGCTCGATCTTATCCGACAAGCTCGTGTCGTGCCACTTGTATGTGCTCAGACGGTCAGCTTGCAGGTTCCAAGAAACGGAAAGGGGAAACTTATTCGTCATTGTCGGGGCGGATCCCGAGCTTGTCCAGCCAGGCAACACGTGGGATTCCAAGACTGCCCACGGTATCCCACACACAGACGGCCTTGATCTTGATCAGATCACCCTGTCCGTTGTCATGTCTCACACGAGTGTAACCCAGCTTCTCCAGCTGGGCTCGATACACTGTCGCAGCATCCTTTCCCTTGGGCTTGTTGGGGAAGGGAATGTTTGGGAACGGATCCTCGTAGTCATCGTCCATCCAGTGCTGCATGTCCTTGAAGATGGGGTAAAAGTGCTCGACTCCTTCACGGGTCAGGAGACCAAGAGCACCAACCATGCCGGCCACCGAACGCACCGTGAAAGCACCTCGGGAGTAACCAACCAGGATGATCTCATCCCCGTCGGTATAGTTGGCGCATAGGTAGGAGTACGTCTCTCTCATGCGCTACAAGGTCGAGTCAGTATATGCTTCATCCTGAAACCGCAATGCTCACCTCTGACAGACCCAGGCCAAACGCTCCTCCCGTGATGCTGTCAAGCATGTTGCTGCCCGTGCCGACGCCAGACTCATAGTTGATGATCTGGAGCTTCCCGTCGCTGCACCTCCGCTTGAAGCAGCGAGAGATGCGTGTGACGTTGGAAGGCACCTGGAGGGTTCCCTCTCCCGTCAACAACCCAGGCTCCTCGTAGCCATTGTCGCTGTCCATCCAGGTGCCATCGCAACAGGCGATCAACCGCTTGGTCGTCGCAGGGATACCGTTCGAAGCCATCGTTAAGCGTTTAGCAGAATCTTCACTTCAGCCAAGACCTTGAAGAAAGAATCAATACGGGTCGCAGAAGCAGGGCATCAAGAGTTATATAGGGACGCGACAGCAAGCATTGACACGCAGCATTCTCAATGCTACAGAATCGACAAAATAAGCGGCACAGCCAAGAGTCGCTTCCCCTGGTCTCAGAAACCCCCAGGGCTGAAGGCTCGCGAGATTACACCAAAAGAGCAGGGCCTCGCACTGCCAAGCCGGGCAATGCTGCACGGTAAGCGGCCATTCTGACGACCCAATTCCTTTTTAGTCAGTAAACTTGAAAGGAGGAGACTGCAAATTGCGGAAGCTGGAAACCCCATTGACGAACTTGCGAATCAAAGTTCCTCTGGTTCCCTGTCAAATGGTCGATCCACTCCAAGCTAGAGCCACTTGAATATCCTCCCCTGGCCAGCATCTCCTATCCTGTCTGCTTAGTGGCTGAGGTCTTGGAACTATCGCGCTGCATGTCTCTCAATCGCGAGCTGATGTCGATCGCCGACCGCTGCGGCCTGGTTCCTTTGCTGCTGTTGGTAAGCCTTTATCACAAGAGACTCACATAGCCTCGGAGCAACTACTCGAAACGAAGGATGCCATAGCCACAATTATGTGAGAAGCATACCATTGCTGATACTGTAAGTGTTCCCCGTGTCGCCTCGTATGGAAGGTTAAGGATATGGGGAACGGGACGGCACGATCGGCGCGCGCCATGTCTCACAACTTGCTTCTCCCTCACCGAATTGACCGTCAAAATAGAGGCGCCAGGGGTTTGTACTGACCCAATGCGGTTCTCGCCATTCAGCCCTGATGCAGTCATCCCGTCTGACCTCTTGTGCACCCAATGCCTCTTACTGCGGATTGTCCGAGGTTGGACAGGCACGGCTTACTATTGGCGGCCCTGTAGATTCAAGAGCCTCATGATCGATGAGGTTGCTTTTCCAGGTACAGCATGAGGGACTGGCCATTGAGTGAGATGCAGACGTCACAGCCTCATTGAGACGATCATGAGAACATCTAGTACCAGAGCTGGGGTATCTTCCGTCTGTCTAGTATGTGTCGTCTATTGATACACTTGTTTTACAGTATCTTGTTCAGTGCTACTGAGCATCCTGCCTCAATGTTTCTGAGCATCGGGCTTCAGTGCTACTGATCTTTTCGTCTCAATGCTGTTGAGCATCCAATCCCTTCCTCAGCCAGTCCGGCACAAAAGCCTTGACCTTGACGCCAGTTCGACTGCCCTCATCCCCCCACTCGAGCACAAACTCATCTTCGGGGTTGAAGGCCGCCGAAGCCGTCTCTCCAGGAAGCACCACATCCGTCATGATCTCGAGTCTGCACAGCCCGAGCCCGACGTTGCCCACGCCCTTCAGCCACTTGCCCGCACTTCGCCCGCGCTTCTCAAACCTCCCGATGCTCGTGTCCCGAGGGATCATGTCTGCCGTTGCACTCTCGAGGGCCGGTGCCGCTCCTTCGGCGTGATACTGTAGCTCGGTTGGTGCCGCGTGCTCCTTCTCGTAGATTACGCACGGCAGAATGCGCTTGCGGACGACACCGCGGTGCTTGGTTCGGATAGTGAGCTCCTGACCAACATAGCAACCCTTTCGGAAGTCAATGCCGTTCATGACATCCATATTGGTCTCCTGCGGGAGTGCGTGCTCCCTCGAAATCTCATCTTGGCCCTCCGGAACGCCATGGAGATATCGTCGAATCGTGTACGCATCTTCCGTACTTCGCTCGAGATCGATCTCTGGTGTATTCTGATCCAGCCTCACAAATCGGCACCCCAGACCAGGTGCCCGTGGATCCTGAAGGGTCAGCTTTGTCTGGTTGACGATGGAGTCCCAATTGGTGCCCTTTGAATCATCCCAGGCGTGCCACACGCTCGCTTCATCCTCGCCCAGCAGACGAACTGCCAGCTTTGCCCTAAGCTTATAACGCTTGATGTGCTTCGCCAGCATCTTTGCCTGATCCGCATCAACCTCGATCAGAAACCCAGGCTCCTCAGCCGAGGCACCGTGGTTGGGATACACAAAGACATCGTAGAGCACCCTGCCCGTCGCAGTCAAAAACGCAGTGTAGAACCCATCCTTCCTTGGCTCTCCATCTGCAGCAGAGACATTGGCAGTCACAATTCCCTGTAGAAACTTGGCAGCGTCGGGCCCGGCAATAGAGATGAGTCTCCTCGAAGTCAAGGGCGTGAGTCCCGAGGCAGGCGGCGGGGGAGGAGACGGCGAAGTCGCGAATTGTCGGCGTTGCAGCTGCCGGCAGCTACGGCAGACGAGGCCCGACAAGACATCGTGAGCTAGGGCTCGCCTCGGGAGATGTCGCATCGTTAGAAAAAGAATGTGCGTGGTTTTTTTTCAGTTTAAAGGTAGTTGACCCCGAAAGACGGCCTCTCGGCATGGAGATTTGCGAAAACTTCCATAATGACGTACCGAGAAATCGAAAATCGGGTGGCCCGTGCGTCCCGGGAAGCGACTCGAATTTCAAAGGGTTCGGCCTTGACGGAAAATTCGGACTTAAAACTGCCGTCCTCCACACTTGCTAAACACCGAGAAGCCGTGGGAAGGGGACATGGTGGAGGGGGTGAGATTTCAACAACGTTTGAGGGATCTACAATTAGTCAGTTTTGGCTTGCGGCTTTAGCGGAACAGTCATTGTTGCTCACAAATTGTTCTTGGCCGGCCACGTCGTGTCAACCACCTACGGATACAACGGAAGAGTCGGAGACAACAAAGACCTCTTGCACCATCAATATGATATGGTGTCAGCAACAAGTATCTAAGCAATCATCTAAGCAATCGTCCAAGCAATTTGCATCAAGACTTTTCAGAGTTCAAGATAACATCAGCACTCTGCTGCATTTGGCCAAGTGATAACATTCCCCATCGTGATCTGATAACGAGGACGAACGGACGGGGTCATCTAGCTAATTGGCCCCCCTTGCACACCCGCAATCTCTGATAAGACTGAGACCCCCAGGTCAGCAGCTTACCCCAGTGTCGGAGCGCTTAGGTGTGTGCTTGGTGATCAGATCAGCAGACACCCCGGCATGGGCTCCAGCTCTCAGAATTAATGACAAAAACGGGCACCTTTATCGGCACCGCAGTCAAAGGACGAAACCGGCCTTCTCTTTGATGCTGCACCTCGGCGAGTCGGGGGTCCGCTCCTCGGTCAACCACGTTTCTCACCCTTCCCCAGACTTGTTCTCATTCTGCCCCGCGCGAGTGCCCCGGTTGACCAATGAGATTGCACAACGGCGCTTTTTGTGCCGCTTGCTGTCCGATATCCGGCCCGGCTGCGTTCGGGAGGGAGAGCGGAAGAAAGTGGATCTTTTCGAGGTCCTGTGACCGATCAAGGCCGGCCGATACGACGCCGTGCTCTCACGCCAATGACCAAAAAAAAAAAAAACTCCATCCAGGTCCGCATCGGGACCTTGTGTCGATTTCGCCGATTGTGGATATTGTTTCGTCTTTCGCCTCCAAAGCTTGCGCAAGCAAGACATATAGGTGATATCATCAGGGACACGCAACGGCGAAAGCCCCCCTGAAAAGCACGTTGCTAACCGCCCGACCAAAAAGAACGGCATCGCCATATGGCGTGCTTGCGTGCGTGTTGGTGACGAATCTAGCACATGCGATTGTTGCATGGTCTTTTGTGTGCTACGCGTATGCGTACTCCGTACCGTATGCGATTGCGATAACGAGGGGTGGCCTAGCTATGCGCTGTAGGGCCTGCGGAGGTGCCATTCCACCCCCTGTTCTTTTATCAACCTCATGATAGAGATCAGCTGGCGAGAACCCCAGCTCTCCCGAAGGATCTACAGTTAGTTCAGGGCACCCGAACGCGAGAGCTCCGGTGTCGTCTCTGCATGTTCGAGACCTTTTCACTCCTATGGACTTCCTCTGTTGGAAGGTTTAGTGTTTCGCTTTCGTGGTTGAAAGCTCTCGCTTAAGCACACACGGCAAGTTGTTTCTCATCAGACCACCAGACGCCAGACTCTCCTCAGTCCACGTGTGCCGGGCTCTCAATCAAAAGACAGTTTGTCTTAACAAGAAGGGCTTTCGGCTTTGGCTTGTGCCGTCCAGCCCAGCCCGTTCGGCCACGAGCCCCGAAGCGGTCAGTCAGCTCAGCTTGGCTGGGCGCACCATGTGCCCTTGCATGGGGGATAGGAATGTGCCTGAGATCCACGGGGGGGCCTGGGCCTTCACCTGGAAACAGGCCGGGCCAAGGAATAAGTTGGACGAGCTGGGAACTATTAGTGGATAGCGAGACAATGCCCTGGAAACGTGTTTGTGATAGTTCAAGGGCAAAAAAAAAAAAAAAAAAAAGCATGAAAATTTTCTCTCCTCCTGGTCCAGTCATGAATATTGGGCATCCAGTCTCTGCCCTGGAATCGACCCTTTCAACAAGGTCAATGGATCAAGGTGAGCCCCAAGCGTTGGCATCTGGTCCCATCAGGGTGGAAGGTTGAACCTGAAGCGGAGCCCGATGACCCGCGATGTGAAAATTTGTTACATGGCCCATCCTGGGTGGATGTGTTTTCTTTTCCTTGATCTTTGTCATGTTCTTTCTCAGTCTTTCTGTGAGACCCAGTCTAGTGGTCCAAGAAAAATGGCACACTTCCAATCGCAAGTATTCAATCCACCGAATCACAGCATAAAAGGCTTATGGTTATAAATCTAAGAAGTCATATAGACTTTAGAATATAATTTATATAATTTATATTTATATTTATTTATTCTAGTCGTAATATCTATATAGCCCGGCAAAGGTCTCATTGCCTACCTATAGTGTGCCATCTATTTCTTGGTCTGGGTGCCAGTTTGTAGCACAAACTCGGTGGGCCTCAGATCCTCGTCCGTGGGGCTCACCTTGATGCGGCGCATGTCTCGTGGGGGAAAAGAAAAAATACTAGCGGCGAGATCGAAGCGAAATCTGTCAAAGGAGTGTAAAAAAAAAAAAAAAAAGAAAACATCCACCAAAGACGCTTTGATCAAGTCTCCCTTGATGAGACGAAAGAAGAGGTCGGGCTTCTCTGGACGGGCTGCCCGATCATTTCGCACCTAATGAAAGGGGTCTCATGCTGGCCTGTAATTCTATCGCCTCTTTCTCGCTTGTTCCAGGCACTGTCGTGTCGTGTTTACGGCGGCCCTGTCTCTGCGCCCTGGCGTTGACGTTTCTGACCGCCCGTCGGGCTTGTCGTAGGCTCCGACATGCAACCTCCCCAAATCCATGTCATGTTCATTCTGAGCCCTTGGCAGTTCCGTGTGTCATGTAGTGTCGTGTCTCTCGCTGACAACAACGCCCTTGTTGAGAGAATGTCTCCGCTGACCAAACCCTGACCGTTAAGAATGCCCCCCAATGTGAATGACTTTGAAATGCTGATTGGACATCGCCGGGTGGATCGGTAAAAGGTCCTTTGATGGCCGGTACAAGCTGATGAATCATTCACGATTCACCGAGTGCCACCGGATCGAAAGGAAAGGGACAATGCGAAAATGGGGCGTGTGTATTCGCTCTCGCAGAATCGGAGTGTCGGGGAGTCCGTGTAGCACGCCGAGCCTTGGATGCATGGGATGCCGAGTAACGCGCGCCCCCCTTCGCTGTGTTGAGTTAGACCGTGTCGGCCCATGATTCATACCGATCCCCCGATATCGCGAAATTCTGGCCGCTGATAAGGATACCGGTCGGAGGATGGCGTCAACGCCCGCTGCGATGAGAGATAGCCGGCTGACCGACCGAGGCGGCCGGCCGATCACGATAGGAACGAAGACGATGTTGCAATGCGAGTGAGAATGAGTAAATGTTTTGAATGTTTTTCAATTGTTTTCGGGCTCCTGCTCTTAGGGCCTCTTTCTGTTTTTGGTGAGCTATCTACCTTGCATCTGGGGGGATCCTCAAAAAGGGCTGCCACTCAAACCAGTATGTCCAAAACCAGTGACTCCTCTTGGGAGCGGCAACTCATTGAATCGTATATCCCCCATATCCCTTTGGTGATGTTCCTTCCTTTGTTCTTCTTGAGAGTGGTGAAACCTGTAACCCCTTTGTCCTGTACACAATGAAACCCATCTAGTCGTGTATAATAGTAAAAGAAAAATGCAATGCTTTTTGGTGTATCCAATGTCCGTGTGGTATCCAGATGTATAGTGAAAACGCCTTGCAATGCCGCCATCGCTTTGTTGTATCTGAAACAAGTCGCTAATAAAAGACCAAATCACACAATTCAATCAAGGAGTATCTGCCTAGTAGACCGAGATGGCCGACACCAGCCTCGCGGGATTTCGAGGTGGCAGGTAGTACTCCTCATCGTAGAATGAATCGGATTCGTCTTGTTGTTGCTTTTGCGACTGCTCCTTGGTGTCCTTCTCGGAGAAGCTGAGAATGGGCTGGGGAGGCGAAGGTGGCATCGAGTCGTCGTCGGAAGAGTCAGAGTCGTGGTCGACAAGCTCGGGTGGTGAGTTGGAGTGAGAAGGTGTTCGGACAAGCTCGAGCTGAGCATAGTCCTCCTCGAGGTCGTCCTCCTCCATATCCTCATCGATCTCGACATTGGTGATGCGAGGGCTCATGGCCTTGATGGGAGTGGCATTGGCCATCTCAATGTCTTCATCCTCAGAGTCGTAGTCTTCAGAGTCAGAAGAATCGGAGTCGTAGTCATCCTCATCCTCCTCCTCGACAATGTTGTCGGCCCATTGCACGTGGCGGTCTTGTTGAGGGCTGGCTCCTCGGACGGATTGGTTGAACCATCGCTCCTGTTCCCGCTCGGCGTCGGCAAGCTCAAGCATCAGGGAGTCGAGAAGGTTGGCGTGTCCGACAAGCAGGCGGAGGTCGTGATCGGGCTGGGCAGCCTCGCGGGAGAGCTTAGCCCGGGCCTTGTGGGCGAGGTAGTATGTTTGTGTGATGGACATGTTCTTCTTGATGGCGGCTTGTCGGAGAGAAGAGGAAGAGGCAGTAGGCCTATGGATGGAAGTGGTGGTTGTTGTTGTCGTCGACATGTTGAAGAGATGAATCAAAGGTGTGGAGGTTGCTTGGCCTTTGTATAATTGGCGTTTGGTTGCTGTGAGTCAAGGCAGCGATCCCGATTGCGGCAGGCTTGAGTTAGCGGCAGGGATGCTCGGTGGTGACAATGACTTGAGCGATTGGGTGATAGGGTGCTAGTCAGGGTCGGTCCCGTGTGCTTTCAGAAAAAAGGCTTTGTGGAGATGGTGGTCCTTGATGAGCGGCTGGTAGCTTTGTAAGTTGAAACTTGCTAGGATGAGGCTGTTCAAGAGGCTTGTAGATGCTTGAAGTGATGATGGGGTAAAAGTTGAGGAACGGGGGGGCAACCGATTCTTTTAACTTCCAGTGACCCTTTACGGACTTTTCTTGTTGTCTCACGCTTTTCATGGGATTATGGAGTTATGCCCGAGACGCCGCTAGAGCGGACTTTGGACACGCGGACCCGAGGAGTGCGAGAGCGATGCCCAGACATGGGGGGGGACTGGGGGGTGTGTGGCTTAGTGATCGATGGAAGGGTGTGTTGGATGAGGATGACCCATCATGCAAGACCCGAAGCCGCGAAGGGGACCCAGAGATTTGTGCAAGATTTGCACCGACCCCTGTGCGCTTTTCAGGGCTCTACTGGACGAATAACAGCCTCTGGCCGGGGGGTTGATTGCAAGGCACACACAGCACCATCTGTGCCTGCATCTCCGGGCGCGAGAGATCCCCGCGGACGGCCGAGGTGTCCGCACCCTTCGGGGCCAAGGTCTCTTCTCGGGACCAGGTACCTCGGACAGCCCGAGTGCAAGGGCGAAATTGCAGGTACCCCCGTCAGTTCCGGTACCCGAACCAGGACCGGAGAGCTTCGTTGGGTTGATGCCGTTTTTGCCCTCAGCGCAGCGTCCATCGTCAATCGCCGTTGTCGCAGCAAATTCCCCTCTACCGGTTCATCCGTCCATCTCGAATGTATTCCTCGAAACGGCTGTAATTGCACAGCATAGTGACTCAATACGACTCATCCCCAATAGCGGACTTTAGATGCTGTATCCTCGTGCAGAATAAGCACCAGCATACAGGCAACGATAGAGCAATCTCGCACATGGTTGTCGCAAGGTGATTCATAATCTGAGCCCTTCAGTCAGCAAAGCACTGCTGGAGCTTGATTAGAAACTGTGTGTGCCTTAGTGCCAGGCCCCTCGCAGCCCATCAGCGTCCAGTGTCCGCCCGTGTCAACTCCGCCAGACACACAAATACAAATCCGAAGGGCGGGTGGATTTCCAAGCCCGCCCTTGGAGCCTTACCAAAGGCAGATGGATTACTACCGTGCATTTCTCAGCAAATGGCGACGGGAACCTTAATGACCCAGTTCGGAGTCGCGATCATGATTGTCTCCGATGACTCTTTTTTTCTTGCTAGTGCTGTAAGTTTATGTTATTGCAAAAGGTGTGACTCTTCTTTTTCCAAATAGTTGCGGATCGTAATTCATCCACCATGCCCATTCCCCCCCCTACAGCGTAATTCCAAGACAATGTCGGCATCCCGTGGCATCCGCACCTCCGTCACGATGGCAGGATGGATGACCTTGATTCTGTCTGCCCTACAGCTTCTGAGAAACCTACTCTGAGGCCTGCCAGAGAGTGCGTGCGCGCGCGGGATACGGCACCAGGATGGGGATACACGGCACGGTTCGCACCCTGATGAATGTTGCCGATTGATCCAGCTTCAAAAGGCTGTCATGGTTGTCCGTTATGCTGCATGTCTGGCCTTACACATCGAGCGGTGATAGATCGCCCCGTGTTCCGTGTTGCCGCACTCGCACCCCCAGGGGCACGGCAAGCCATCACTAAGCTCCGCCCTCGTTGTTCGTCACCACCTGGACGGGAGAGGAATGGCGGGACAACGTGGGTGGGCAACGGAAGGTTAATCCAGAAGCGAGAGCGAGAAAGGGAGCCATCCCCTGGCCAGTCAGAGGAGGCCCTGGGCGAGGCCACGACAGGAGGGTACGTATCGTTGTAGGGCTGAGCTTTGATCGAGTCGGCCGCCCAAGGGTTTGGTGTCGCGCTCCAGGACGGAAGACCGAAAGCGACGGACGCGAGCCAATAGAAGACGGCGATGCTGTCAGTCATCACCATCACCATCACCTTTTCACTGCCATGATGGGCTTGACCTTGCCCACGTAAGCCCAACCCATCCCTACACGCATATCTTCAAACAAGGCCATTTGGCAATATTCGTTTAACCTTTTTGGGTCCTTTCGTCATTCTCAGATTGATATGTAGTGGTGGTGGTGTTGTATCCAAGGCGTCGGTTTCGGTTGCCAGGGCATTCATTTCTTGAATAACGTCTGCCTAAGGTATTTCCAATCATGATACCTTAGACTCTAGACTGCTTTAAGCTCCCCAGGCACACGCAACTCACACTCGCACACCTCGTCTCACATTACGAAGCTGCAGCTATAGCTCACAGATAGCTTACACACCTTTGACAAGGCAGCAAAATTGACTCAATTGACTGAGTCGAGATAGTCATTCCCCTTCCTCTAGCTCAGCCGACACGGCTACGCGGCCACCATCTCGCAACAGCCCTGTAGGCATATGCCAACTGCAGGCGACCCTGTCGGTCGGTGTTGGAGATGCCCCCGACCATGCCTCGGCCGGGTTATGCAAGGCCAGCCTCAGCCCTTTGCACGCACCGGCCAGACCGGGCTTTTGTGAATTCCGAATCCACCGACCACACACCGTGACTGTCCGAAAGTGGTCCGCAGAACGACGGTGCAAAGACGGGATTGAGAGAAAAGAGTCAGAGCTTCCAACTCCGCTTTGGAAACTTTTTTTTTTCTTTCGAGGTTCCATTATGGAGAGTCACTGGCTAGACTAGACTAATTGTTGCCACGATATCGGCTTCGGTGGAATTTTCCTTGAGAATTTTTTCTTTTTAGCAAAATTGATGTGAGTCTGTTGCACCGTCCGGGACATTCCAGACATGAACAAAACGTTCCATCGCATTCATCCATGCAGGTAACCTTCTCTTCTGGCTCCATTTGGAACTTGCAGCAACAGCAGCAGCAACCATGCAGGAAGAGGGTTCAATACAACAAACCGAGTAGATCAGATCAGGTCGGATTTACCCTTTTCTTCCACCTGAAGCCCGTCCAGATGCATGGAAGGTGTCTTCTATGGGGCACAGAAGAAGCAACATCCGCGTATTATTCCCCCCTGTACCACTGCCACAAATAAACCCAACAGGGGCGCAAGCCGTGCATCTCGTGGACGACAAGCGGTTGGTGAGCGGGCTTCGGCCTCGTGCAAACCACTGACCGCTGGTCTGGTTAAGGTTACTGGCGACACAGTCAGCGTCCCAGCAACGAAATGGCGGAGATTGTCGACTGTGGGAGATCTCAGGAGGTCCGCAGCCCATCCCATTTCGTCCATACAGACGAAAGGCCGCAGCCGCAGCCTCAGCCCGCCCGCATATTTCCAGGGACGTGTCTTTTCTCGTCTCGTCTGTTCCCGTGGTGGGTGGTCCCTTAATTCTAGCCCAGGCTGCTTTGTCAGTCAGTCAGGACTGGCTCCAAACTCTCGGCCGAGGAGCTGCAGGGGTGTGTTTTTATCAAATCACGGCACCGATGATCCAGCGTGCATCAATCAAAACTCGCTCGGTAAGCGGATGCCTGATTTTTCGCCTTGATTCCTAATGCGAATAATCTGCCCTGAGGGAAGCTTCCACAAGATGCTTGGAGATTCCCAGTATCGTGGAAAACTCACCCCATGTTTCGCAACACTCTACCCGTGCGTCGCAAAGGACTCGAAACACTTGCGAAAAATGCTGACGCTGCGCCTTTCGTGGCATCTTGTCCTTGTGACTCGTTTCCCCCCCGGCGGGCATTTTCGCTTTCGGGCTCGCAAAACACCCCGTCCCGACATGTTCCATGCCCATCAATTGCGGAGAGCTACGGAGTCGACCTTTTGGCCGATCTGCCGATAACGTGGGGAAGGGAAGAGGCTCCATCCATCGAACCCTTATCTCTTGGTGTTCCTCTCCGTTCTGGTTAACTCCTAGCCCCGAGCAACTCCCGTGCCCGTTCCCCGTGCCGTCTCCATTTCGCAAGCTGTCAAAAAAGTCGGCATGCCGTAAACTCCGGCCGTCCATCCATGATGACGCCTTATTTCCCCTACACCCGAATTGGGAAGTGATTCGACAGCCTTAAAATTCCCGAGCCGTTGATGACGTGACGACGTCCTTAATTGAGGATGCCATTCGAGATTGGATTGTTGTTGACGACTTGACAAGGTTCTGCCAGGCACAACGCCACAACTCGTCAAAGCCAAGTCAAAGCCACGCGCTGTCGTTTCCTCTCCCTGGAAGGGATCAACCGATCAGTGACTTGACATGTTTCTCCTTGATCGGGGAGGCGATTCGAGGAATACGCCTGGGCTTGGCTATGCCGACTTTTACGTCACTACAGGGTATTCTCGATCGCCAACAGTCGCTGCGATTTTCCTAGTTTGACTAACGCAAATGCGGCTCAGCACGACTCACCATCGCTTGACAACAACAGTTGCAGATGCATTACTGTTATAACGTCTACGACATCATACGTGATGTTGCAGGCAGGCAACAAGGTTGACTGAAACCTCCTGCATGCCGTATGGATCCCTGAATGCCTGGAAGCCTGAGATGGATGGCAAACTTCTCTATTGGTTAGCTGACAGCGGCAGCCTGCTTTCACCATCAGCCATCGAGTCTCATATGCAAGCGCCTCTGCACCTAATTCTAAATGAAGCTATTCCCTCAAGCTCAGCGTGGGGAGAACGAAGGTTGAAAACCTATGGACAGGAGAAGACCATGGCCAATAACAGTGGATGCATGAGCGCCAAAGAAGATATTTGCTATCCCGTGACCAGCCAAGGCACACACTCCTACTGGCCCTCCTAATTGGTTGTCCATAAGCATTGCTCTCAGTCATTTCTCACAGTTACCCGTCGTCAAGTCACTGAAAAGACCGAGTTGCCGAGATAAGACTCCTAAATGCCCTTAAATACGAACTACACGAGTTTAACGATGAAAAAAAGAGGAGCCGATACTGCATTCTCTCTCACAGATGGGACACCGACGAGGTTCTCTACAAGGACCTGCTTGACCCGTCCACCAAACCGACCGCCAAAGCTGGCTGGCCCAAGGTTGCCGGTGCTTGCAATCTGGCAATGCATCTTGGCTACGAATGGATTTGGATAGACACATGTTGTATCGACAAGTCCAGTAGCGCCGAGTTGTCTGAAGCTGTCAACTCCATGTTTCGCTGGTATCAAGAAGCGGATGTCTGTATCGCCTACCTGGCCGATATTCGACACATAGCCCCTAGGCCTGCCGACTATGTCGCCTACATGGGAGACAGCGAATGGTTTACCCGCGGGTGGACTCTACAGGAAGTGTTGGCGCCACGGGCAGTTGACTTTTATTCAGCAGACTGGAAGCACCTTGGATCCAAGAACAATATCGGTCTGGACCTGGAGCGAATCACAGGAATAAACGCTGCGTATCTGAACGGCCATAAAAGAGTCACAGAGGCCAGCGTCGCCGAGAGAATGTCATGGGCGTCAGGAAGACAGACTACTCGTGCTGAGGATATAGCCTACTGCTTGCTGGGCATTTTTAACATCAACATGCCTCTGATCTATGGAGAGAGAGACAAGGCTTTCCAAAGACTCCAGCATGCCATTATTCGGGAGATTGACGATCAGACTATCCTGGCTTGGGGTACTGGCTTTGTTGAACCGGGAGAGGTCGATCAACCTCACCATGACCACCAGCCACTCCTTGCCACGAGCCCCTATGCTTTCAAGGACTGTGGCAACCTCGTCCCATGCAGCAGCCCACAAGCCAAGGCAAGGCTAGAAATCCGCCAGGACGGTGTACGGATTACCTCTCCCATTCTATGGGACACTGAGATCTTTGGCGACACCCGTTACAACCCACTGTCTGGCCATTCTTTTGTAGCATTACTTGCACCCTTGCAATGCCGGCGGAGGGACGACTTTTTTAATTGCGTGGCTCTCGTGCTGAAGTGTGAAAACATCAATCATAACACGAACAGAATAAGACTCACACTGGATAATATGCGACTTCATAGGGTCACGCAAGGCTGGCATCTCGTGCCTAGGAAATCGTGGTGGACTGAGCCTCTCAGGCGAACACTGATACCTCTCGACGCTCCAGCAGAGCTGAATTATCAAGCCGCGAGACAAGACGAGGGCTTCATTATTCGAACACTCCCGAAAGGTTACAGCATCAAAGAGTGCTACGATCCCACAGAACCATATCCATTTGTTCCGCCATCACTTCGCATCCCCGATGCCCACCCCTGCGGACTGAGTCATCCCATTATAGTTGCCATCGGAACGCATTCACAACCCACCATTGCTCTTATAATTCGGTATCAATTCGACCTGGCCCAGCACCTATCCCCCAAGCCCCATGGCGAGTCCAAGGCTCAACCTACCTCAGCATCCCCTGATCCTAACCGGCAACCATGTAGTATACGAGGCCGGATTGTTTATATTCCTGATGGCTTCGACCTGAAGAAAGTTGCCGAAATCGACGAGATGGATGTTAAGCAACAATGGGAATCTTTAAAGGCCACCAGGCCGGACGCGAGGTTCTTACCAGGCAATCGGCTGGACTATTGGGAGAGCAGACTGCAAAAGTGCATCTGGCTACTGCCGACATTTTCAAAAGACCCTGGGTACGGTAATTATGTGTTCATCTTGGATATCAAGGATATTCATGGGAAGGGTGTGTCAGCCGAAGACGAGCACTGTTTGGTGGATCGGGGGCTTGAACCGTTTGTCGACAAGGCGTTTGCGTCACATTTCCCTAGACGAAGACGGGACTCAAAGTTATGAGTAGGAAATGGGAAAAGGGTTGTGCGTCTATGGATCTCTAGTAACTCTAATTTCGCATAAGTGAGCAAGGGTTGAGTGAGACTTGAAGTGAGTCTCCAAGTCGACTAATCTACCTTGTGGAGCATACACGTAGGAGCACGGGCCGTTAGCAGCTGTAGCTCTTCCTTATCTCAATAATATAGCTGGAAGGGTGTTCAATGATGCTGCTAACAGGGGCTTCCCGGCATCTATGCCCGAGGCGCTGCACGCCATCGACTGTAGACCCGAAATATGCGAGCGTCTTCTTCTCACTGCCTTGTAGGATGATCCATCGAGTACAAGAGCCTTGGGAGCTGTATTGACTGTGCAGGTCGGAGTTGTCACCTCTTCTTTGTTTCAACTGCGTTGCTAAAGACCTATTCCGTTATATTGGAACAGGTTCCCGTGATCTCTCGGCTATCATACACTCACCAGTATAGCAAAGCCGAATAAAAGAATGGCGAGGAAGATAAGAGCGGAAAGCATCTCGACGGCCGAAGAAGATTTTCACCTCATATAGAGAACAAAGCCCCATTAACTCACATCGATTTTCTTTTCTTAGTTCTCAAGACGAGCTGGTGCGTTAGGAGTTTCACAAATCTCAGGTATAGTCGCTGCAAAGCATGGGAACCCGGGAGCCCTTTAAGAATACGGCCCCGGACATGAAGAACAACGACATCAACGAGGCACAAACAAGATTCGAGGCACTTGCGTATTCATCTAGCTGAAGCTGGGGTGATGGACTTATTGTAGACCATCTCGCAGGTAAGTCTCGAGATGGTGTCCAACCTGGGCAAGCCATTGGTTGACCAGCTCCTCGATCCACCCAAGGACTACCTAAACCATCAACGGGCCGACCCGAATGCGCCTGGTTGTTTTTCAGCGGCAGTGAGGCTTTGTGAGCTTGCTTCCCTATTTTGGCAGTCTCACCGTTGTGAAGGCTTTGGTGAGGGTTCGTGGATACCGTCACAGCTAGCACCAAGGCGTAAGCGAACCAACTGGATTGATATCATGTGCTGTGTACTGAAGGTACACAAGATAAGAGTTTCCAATGTGTTATTGTAGCTCTCCTCTCCTATGTACCAAGACATCTGTCGCTGCTATACCCCCAAGCCCACGGTACAACCTCTGATCCAACAAGTAACCGAATTCTTCATCTCACGGAGATCTTAGCTCGAGATATCCAGCGCCAGGAGGATAAACCGAGTAATCGGAATCGTTTGACCTGCCATTTGTGTCGAGATTCCTGTAATTTGCCGGTTGCTGTGAAGGGGATACATGCATCAGTCTGGCTCGAGAATCTCAGGAATGCTAACCTACTTTTTTTTCCCTGAATAGTGAAGGGGATAGAAGATGAAAGGTCACAAGGCGGCACAGATGGCAGCTCAAATTGCGAGAGAGTCGCGCGGCTCTATAAGGAGGGCCTGGTGTTGTCAACCGACAGATGATTATGCTTACGCAGAAGACCCGCTGCACTGTCTGTAAGGTCGCATGTTTCGAAGGAAATATGTCAATGAGATACTGAAGGTGTCTTCCGGGAAAAGCACTGCGTCAAGGCTATATGTAGTTGTTTGGTTGATGTACCAATTCGCAAACCTAGCCGGAGTGTCTTGCGGAGTGAGACTGTGTTGGCTCTGGTTCTATTGGAACCATCTGTATCACGGATATATGGATGCGTAGATCCATCCTAAGGCTGGAAAATGGCCATGTTGAGACTCTTGAAGCGTTGCGTAGTGATGTGCTGCATCAGAGAGGAGTTTTAAATCCTTGTCCGGTATCTTTCGAAGTGCTAATGGATGATTATATGGCCTTCACACCCGCTACTTCGCAATGATAGGTTTCGCTGGAGGCAGGAAGGTTATCGATTGTAAGTGACACTCGGGCATCGGTTGATTTTGGTAGATTCCCTAGATATTGAAGTATGGACGGCACTGCTGATGTGATCGTGATGACACACGTGCCATGACAACGCCAGTTGTCGTCCGCCGCCGAGGGTGTCGGTAAAGTAAAGCATCTTCGATAAACCGAATTTGGCATCAAGCACAGGTGAGACTGTCTGTAGGCATCCGGATGGGTTGATTTCCCCACGGTTCGAGGGCGTTGAAAAGGTAACATGCAGTGTGACGACCAAGTTTAGTGTTGGGCTGTCCAACACAAAAGATGGCGGCCTCCTTGAGGAAGGGGAAGCCAAGGCGAAAGACAGGCGCGTAGTGCATTGCTGTAATGATATGACTTTAAATGAACGTGTATCGGCAATGCCCAATTCATCGGCCCAACAGTTGATTCGGTCCAGAAGAAGGTCAAGAAACGGGTCAATTGCAAGCTGCTGTAGGCTGTTGTAGGCTGTTGCAGACTAGATGCGAACGTCAGGCATTGAAATTGGCTTTCCTGGCCTTTGACAACGGCCTATTGTTGGCAACTTCCCTAGTACCGCAGATGGGATTGTCTGGGGGGATTAGCTGTGGCTGATGACACGGGAGAGATAAATGCCTGGGGAGTGTCGGTTGATGGCCCTCTAGTGTTGATACCGCAGATGAGATTGTCTGGGGGTATCTGGTTGATGTTCCCCAGACCAATCTCATCCCGCTTGTTGTCTACAAGCCTCCCCCACTCAAGCAGCAGCCGGAATAGGAAGATCATCGATACTATGGGCACGCTGCTGGACCGGAGGGTGCGGGCGAGGTTAGGGGATGGCCCGCTATCTTCGTCCAGGAGGAGGATGAAGCGGTACTCTAGCGGGTCCTGGTCCTGAGTTCGGGGGATGGATGATGCCGCAGATGAGATTGTCTGGGGATATCTGGTTGGTGTTCCGGTCTTGGGCATGGAACTGTGCTCCTCTGAGGTCGGTCGTGTCTAGGTGACCAGAAGAAGGCCGAGGATGAAGATGGAGCAAACGAGAGCAATGGCCATTGAGGTGGACTGTAGACCAGTTCGATTTGAGGGTCGACATGCCATGAAGCTGGGAATAACGATGGCCAGGAATGGGAGGGTGCGAATCGGGCTGCCTGGGGTTGGCCATCCTCGTTCAACGAGGAAGAGACGTGCTGTGTTGCCGAGCGAGAGTGTGCTTGATGACGGGGGAGAAAATCCGAATGTGCAAGCCGGTGTTGGAGCTGGACTAAGAGCCGGTCCATGTATAAATGGTAGCCGATGTCGACAGACACTGGATATTCTGCCTGCAAGTTTCAGGTCGAGCATCAATGCCTCAAGCAACTTGCATCTAAATCGAAATCGCAGTTAGAATCACATTCAATTTTGATCATTTTGGGCTTTTCGACTTACTGTGAACCCTTTTGGCTAACATGTGCTTGTATGGTCCTCTTGAATTGACGAAGGAAGCTCCCAAGTGCATCAACCTGTATTCCGAGGGGGAAGGTGCCGGGAAAGATGGACGCAAGACAAGCTGAACATCCACCTGCCTACCAAGTAACTACCGGATGGTGTGTCCAGCTGTAGATGGCTTCGTCAGTTGTCTCCGAGGCCTAGCGAACTTGGTTGTTGGTCAACAATGGATGCTCCTCCAAAATCGGGCGTTGTGAACCTACTTACCTATGCCCCTGGCGCCGTTGAGAACCTTCAACAAAATTAAAGTTGCTCTGTTGCCCATAAGAAGGTGCCGTCTCCTCCCAAAACTTAACATTTCGATTTGTGTTTTCACCTTCACTCACCTACCACAAAATGTTATCCGCAAGTTATCACATCTGCTACTGGATCCTATCCATCGCCGCCGCCGCCGTCTATCAAGGCATGGCGGTAGGCTTGGGATACGGAGAGGATATTTTCCGAAAGAGCCTGCTCCCGCTGATGGTCTTCGCGCTTTACATCATCTGGAGCGGCCCTCGTCATCATTCTACATCGTGGCATGCTTATCAAAAGGCTGCCACCGGATGCTTGATGGTTTGTCTTGGCGCAGTGACCGAGTTCGTCTACATCCCTGGTGGAAGCGCAAAACCTCTGAAGGAAATCGTTCATGTTCTGCTGGCTTTCTCTGCTATCGGAACCCTTGAATCTATCAGACAAAACGTCAGTCGACACTCTGTTCTTGACACATTGACCCAAGTGCTAACGTGAGGCAGCGTAAAGATATCGAGCCCGCCGTGTTTTCAGGCCTCGCCGCTTATCTCAGCATTGGAATAAAGCTTGTTGGTTGGCGTGGCCTTGTCGCCAGCTGTTACTCGCGCTTATTCGCCTGCTGGATTCTCCATGGCATCTGTCTCGTGGTTGACCATGTCCTTGCCTCCATCTACGGGCCCGGGGTCTCGAGCCAATCCGTCAAGACTGCTCACATGAACAGCACGCTTGAGCACCTGAGCAGCTCTATCGTCATCTTTTACGCCCTGGGACCTCTGGAGGATGTAGCAGAGACGGTAAGATACCTTCACGCCCTGAATTCGACCACCGAATCTAATCTGGTTACTGCTAGGTATTCTATCAGGTTCATCGGCTCGTGTACCCCAAGTTGGTTCCAGAGCCAAGCCCACTCGTCGGTCCAAACCAGCCTTGGCTTTTACTAAGAAGTAATGCCGTACGCTCGTTTTCTCAGTGGGTTTTCATGTGCTTGTTCGCATTGCTATGGAAGTTGTCGGCTGGCGGGAAATACCTAGCAAGATATTCTGGAGTGGGATTCGGTCTATGAGGGTGACTGTCTACCTACCTTAGTAGAGATTCAGCTGGTTTCCGTTGTTAAATAGAGCACTTGCCTTCTAGTAGAGTTAATGAGATTGTTGGCCACAGCGGCAAAGAAGACAGGTTTCGATACACAAGGGCATTAGAACCAAACCGTAAGATACCAATCGATTTCTAAGCTTGGCAGTCTATTGTCGGCGCCGTGTTTACAATCCGAATACCTGGGTCTTCGCTGTCGAGCGACCATTCCGAGTGGTAAAGGCATCAATCCATTCACCTTAGCAAAGTAGAGCCCAGACATCCCCGTAAAAGAGCAATCGCTTTTGTCTATACAGTCTAAACCCATGTAACCAACGCCTACTCTGCCTGAAGCTTCTGCTTCGTCCGCTTCCTCTTGCCACCAACTTCTCGGTTCTCCTCCACCTCCAACAGAGCCTCGCGCTTCTTCTCCGAGACAACCTTGAGGACGTCGCGCACCACACGAGTCTCCAGGTTGACGCCCTCCTCCTCCCAAGACTCCATCTCGCGGCCCACGCGCTTCTCGATCGTCAGGGCCAGCTCTACGTCGCGTTGCCCGATGAAGCTGACGGCCTCACCCTTGCGACCAGCACGAGCGGTACGTCCGACGCGGTGAATGTAGTCATCTGGGTCGCGGGGAAGGTCGTAGTTGATGACGAGGCTGACCTCGGGGATATCCAGACCTCTGGCGGCGACGTCGGTAGCTACAAGAATACGGGCTGCCGAGGCGCGGAAACGAGCGAGGTTGTCGATTCGCTGTCTCTGGGGTAGCTTTGAGTGAAGTGATGTAACCCGGTGCTCGAGCAATCGTAGCAGATGGTGGAGGTAGTCGGCAGTCGAGGTGCGGTTGCAAAAGAGAATGATCGTCTTGTCAACGTTTTCCTCGGTGAGCAAGAACACATGGAGGTAGTGCTCCTTGTGTGTGACTGGAACCTTGATGTACATCTGGTTCAGAGTCGCAGGGATAGCCAATGTCTGGGTGTCAACCTCGCACACAAAGACGGGCTGCTTGCCTGGCTTGATTGGCATGTCCTTCAGAGCGCGGACTTCCGGCGTGATGGTGGCCGTGAAGAGCAAAGTCTGTCGTTCCGTGGCCGGGGGCAACACCGAGAGACATTGTTCTACGTCGGGAAGCATGCTGCCAGGACCTGTCGCATTGAGCAGTCGATCAGCCTCATCGAGAACCACGTATTTGACTCTCCTCAGTCCACAGATGGTGTCCTCTCCAGAAGTGCGCACATGGTCGGCCAAGCGACCTGGAGTCGCAATCACAACATGCGGCCGCTTTCCTAGCTCAATCGCCTGGGCGCGCATGTCAGAACCTCCGGTAATCAGGATGGCCTTGAGACTTTGGGGGGATGAGATGGCCTTGAACTGCTCGTAGATCTGAAGGGCCAGCTCTCGCGTCGGCGTCAGCACGACAGCAAAGATAGCAGTGGGATCATCGGCCCATTTTTGCAGAATAGGCACGGCGAACGCAACCGTTTTACCGGAACCTGTTCGACTTCCACCGATACAGTCTCTGCCCTTCAGGATCTCGGGAATACAGCCCTTCTGAATTCCTGTCGGACGCTTAATGGCCATGTTACCAAGCGATTGGACTAGCCATGGTCGAACATTGAGCGCCGAAAAGGTGGTGTTGGGATCGGTAGGGGCGAGGATCGTCTTTTGGGGAGCAGTTGAAGGTTTCGCTTGAGTCTCCTTCTGGTCTGCCTTGGCATTGCGCTTGATTCGGGAGGGAGCCTTGATTGTGGAAAGCACCCTCTTCAGCTCCTCATCTTCAGCATCGTCCCCGTCCTCGTCCTCGTCGTCTTGATCATCGCCATCTTGGGGTCCTGTAGATGGCACAGTTCTCCGACGCTTTCGGGATGCGGCACTGTCGAGGTAGTCGGACTCGTCAGAGGATGAGCCCACATCAGACAAGACGTGCTCTTCTGACGCATCAGTCGCGTGGTCGGGGTCGGCGGGCGGCAACATGGCTCGGCTTTATAAATTGCAGGAGTCTCACGAATCCATACAGGCAATGCAAGTTGCAGCTGGTCTGGAAATTTTTGGCGGTGACGGGCGTCTCAAAATCGATGGACCCTTCTCCACTCGCGGCGCGCGGCGGATGAGCTGTGGGGTTGACGGCATGGCGGGGGCCAATGGGAAGAGCGAAGCTGTAGACGCGCGCTTAGAAGCGTTCCCGAGCGTGGCGCCCACTTGGACGATGAGGAAAGGGCTAATGCAAACGCATCAATCATCGCCAGACATTCTCACAGTTACAGGATTGTTTCTCATGATAGCCCGGGGCATCTGGCGCACCGGACATCCAAGTACCTGTCGAAACAGGGGGATTCGAAGCCGAGAGCCGGGCGCTTGTCTGCCGTGGCCACCGTGCGAGAACAACAAGCAACAGCGACAGGGTCTTTGCAGCAAATGAGGAGGCGTCGCCGGGATGTGGTCAGCTGCGACGTCGTGCAGCGATGTGATGAGACGGCAAATGTGGTTTATTGATTGATTCGGCTCTGTTGGTAGTTTGTTTTTGACTGACTGAAGAGTGTGAGATTGCTTTCATCAACAGGCAAGGGGCCGGCAGGCTCAGGGGCAAGCCACTTGTCATCCTGTTGATTGTTGATATCGTTACCATCAACGAGCAGAGCCTTGTTCCAGGACGATCTGTGGCACATGCCCCCTCACAGCGTTGAATGATCAACTCTGACGCCCCAAGCTTTGACTTGCGGTTGGGCCACGTTGATGCAAGGCGAGCGCTTCTCACGCATCAGACCCAGAGGGCACGGCTTCGACTCCACAAAGAATATGCCATGCTATGCAATGCGAGGATCAATAGCCTGACATGAGATTTCCTAGGCTCAGCTCCTCGACAAGGCAAAATTGTGCTGGAGACCTGGAGCATTGTGGGCGCTGTGATAGGCTGCTCAGGGGCCGGAGACTGGAGGAGTAAAGTGACGACGACGCCGATGACGAAGGCACCAACAAAGCAAAAGCAGGATTGTAAGACAACCGGTCTGCTTGTCTCAAGCCTCGCTGGTTCGCCATGCTACTTGGGCATCGGGGAAAATCCTTGGCTCACACACAGACACACAAAGATGTCGGCCAAGGAATTGACTAACGATGAAAGAAGAATTGAGTGCCCGAGACAACAGCATTCCAACCTGGCAGCCATGTTATGCTTGCTGATGCTGATGCTGGAGGTCTGTCAGCGAGCGATGGACGCTTGATTGTTGGTCACCGGTGGTTCTAGACCCAGCCTGGATCGCCGTCTCAGACCGACGGCATCTGCGCCAGGAAAAACATAAGCGGCAACAGCGCGCGTGCCGTAATATTCAAGTCTAGGTACAAGACTCATGTTGATGAATTGTTTGTCGTAGATGGGCAGACCACGTCGGTTTGGACTGGAGGAAGATCTGAGACAGGGCCCAAACAGCCAAACCACGGACAAGCCGCCTTTCAGGGCTTGGTCAGCTCCCCCGCCCCGGTTACAGGGGATGGAACCGCTCGACCCCCGCCCCGGGGCGCCACTGCAAGCGCTGTGCCGTCGAGCTAGCTGGGGGACCCGACGACCTCCAGTTCTCCGCTGAGTCCTAGGTACTGGAGCTGCCTACAGCGTCCAAGAGGTACCCGGAGCACAGGGGTGTTCTCACTGAGTCGGGAAGGTCACAGGTGCCCAAGCGCCCCGCCGCAGGTACCTGTCCTCCAACAAGAGGATGGCAGTCACAAGCCCACCGACTCCGACCCGACCCAATCAATCCATCGACGCCATCATCCACCTCGGGGCATTCTCCTCTCGTCCCCTCGCCCTCTCATATCCTCTCATATCTTCTCTCATCTCCTCTCCTCGCGTTTCGGATTCACACAGCGACGTGTCGTTCGTCGCCACGCTTCTTGCTGTCATTCCATTCTACTCTCTCGTCCTGCCCTGCAGTACCCAACGACCGTCTTCCTGTTGAGTCTCTTGCACACAGCCAACCCGCGAATCATCCACTCTCGGCTGTCTTGCATGGGCTGTTTGTCAACGTTACTTCTGCGGCTGTCTCGCTTCTTCTTGACGACACCACCACAATAATCTGACTCTCCGGTCTCACTCACCTCGCTCACCTCCCGCTGTCGCTGCAACAACCTGCTTAATCACCACCAACACTCGCTGTTTTTTCCCGTCGATTGTCTTTATACACATCAATCCGCATCTGCCCGCCTATACAAGTATATCTTACTGCCATTACGACGACGACGCCGGCCGATCGACGACCCTGCCTCCGTAATCCCGACAACTCGAACCGACCGACCGACTAAATTCTGATCCAAATTTTCCCAGAGCAACTTGTTGTCGAGCTTGTGATACGCATCTTCTGTAGACCGTTATTTCCCACCTACTTGCGTCATCCCTCTTTCGCCCACAAGCTACCCCAAGCAGCCCAACCGCCGAGATGGCCGACCAACTACCTCAAAGTTCTGACTCGACTCCTCAACCTGTACGCTTTCCAAGCTCTCCTTGGCTGGTCCTTTCCGGTACTGACTCTTCGCAGCAACTTCCTGCCGCCATTACTCCCATCTCTCTACCAACTCCTCACGCTGGCCCCTCGCCTGTCCCTCTGCTCCGTCCCGCCATCCCCGGCGCTAGGAGTGGCGGGGCTCGTACACCGAGACTCGGCCTTGCTATTCCTCCATCTCCCAATGCCAAACCCGTTGGCAGCCAAGGCGCACCGGTTGCCGCGCCTTCAAGGCCTCCTCTGCCGACTCTACACCTAAAGACTCCCATGGGAAGCAACGTTACTCCCCATGAGCAACTCCCTCGATCACAATGCGTTACCCAACCATCGGCAAGCGGCGGCAGCGAGAGCAGCGCTGCTCATTCAAGGTCTGGTAGTTTTGGTCCTTTGGATGGTAGGGCAAGCAATCCTACTTCGGCCGGCTCTCAGTACTCGGCCCTTTCATTCGCTTCTCAGTATGGTATTGGTGTGTCAAGACCCCAGGGAACTCCAGACCCGGTGTCGGCTGTTGGATCCATGTATTCTGAGAGGAGTGAGGGTGGTGTTTCTATGGAGCGCGATGGTAGCCTGCAAGGACTTGAGGCTTTTGATAAGCTGAGCCTGGAGAAGGCTAGAACTCTTGATGTCGACGAGTTGGATGAGGAGGGTTGGAGAATCGCCAGTATGGAAAACAGAATCGTGGAGCTGGGTAACCTGGGTGAAGGTGCAGGCGGTGCTGTCACAAGATGCAAGCTCAAGGGCGGTAACACGGTGTTTGCTTTGAAGGTGAGTTCAACGTGGCTCCGTTATATGTTCGCAACGCTAACACGTCCTAGGTCATCACCACGAATCCCGATCCCGATGTGAAGAAGCAGATTCTTCGAGAACTTGGTTTCAACAAGGAATGCGCCTCGGACCACATTTGTCGATACTACGGCGCTTTTGTCGACCCCGCCACGGCTACCATCTCCATTGCTATGGAGTTCTGCGAAGGAGGCTCACTCGACAGCATCTACAAGGAAGTCAAGCGTCTTGGTGGCCGTACTGGAGAAAAGGTCCTGGGAAAGATTGCCGAGGGCGTCCTGGGAGGACTCACTTATTTGCACACGCGACGAATCATTCACCGAGACATCAAGCCATCCAACATTCTTCTCTGCCGAGATGGCGCTGTCAAGCTTTGCGACTTTGGCGTCTCTGGCGATTTCGGTACCAAGGGTGAGGCCAACACCTTTATCGGTACTAGCTACTACATGGCCCCTGAACGAATCACTGGCCAGTCATACACCATCACTTCGGATGTGTGGTCAACAGGAGTTACCCTCCTCGAGGTTGCACAGCATCGATTCCCCTTCCCAGCTGACGGCACCGAGATGCAGCCACGAGCTGGTCTCATCGACCTTCTTACCTACATTGTCAGGCAACCTGTGCCCAAGCTCAAGGATGAGCCTGACATGGATGTTTACTGGAGTGACAACTTTAAGTACTTTATTGAGTGCTGGTACGTATAATGTTGACCAATGATGAGAACATGCTGACAATATTTTAGTCTCGAGAAGCAGCCCAACCGCCGAGCAAGCCCCTGGAAGATGATGGAGCACCCATGGATGGTCGAGATGCGCTCAAAGCGTGTCAACATGGTGAAATACCTGTCGTTTGTATGGGGCTGGGATGACCAGCCCAAGGCGTAGGCAACTCGCAACTCGCAAGTGCCAAGGTCTTGGTAACGTAGGAAAATTGGAACAACGAGCCGTGCCCGTGTCACAAGCGCGAGGTGGGCGACATTTGACTCGACGGCATCTCCCGTCTTATGCCCATGACGACATGAACAAGGCTGGGCCTGTGTCATGAGGCTCTTATACGAGATGCATTCCTTGGGGACGCGCCGTGGACACGACTAGGATGTTGATGATTAACCAGTCAACCACAAGACGGCGCACATTGGGAAGCCGATTCGCGGAAGGATAGGATAGGATGGTGTTCATGATGATGATGGCAGGAGGCATTTACGTCACTATACGTACGGTCAGGATCTGGCTGAATAAGAACGAAAGATTGTGTGTTGGAAACCGGCAAAACCTGACAAGGACGGGGAATCTCCCATCTCGCGCTTATGCGCGTAGCCTTTCTATGTACTATCCCACAATATATGGGTATCATATTCTTGGATACATGTATTTTTTTGCCTCCTTAAATGGCGCCCACATTGACTGTATACTCCCTTCTATGCTTCTGTGGTTGTCTCCTCTGGGGGGTCTCCCATGAGCTCTCGTAACGCGATAGTCGCATAAGCACTGCGTCCCAGCTGGAACTTGACAACTGCGGCAAGTTTCATGGGTTGCTGAGCAGCGGGAGCCTTTTCAGCAGTATCCTCAGCGGCAGGGGCACTTTCTCCTTGACTCTCTTCCGTACCCTTCATCTCAACGTCCATAGATGCTGATGCCTCGCCCTCAACCTTGGTCTTCTTGGCGGTCGACTCAGAATCGGCATCCTCACGAGAGCGCTTCTTGTTGGCACCCTTGGCAGCCTTGATAACGTCCACATCGGTGGGGTGCATCTGCTCCGTATCGTCCGAGTAGGCGCGCACCTCGACCGAAGGCGTTCCGAGGAAGCGGTTCATGATCTTGCGGTACCGGCCGGGAAGACTGAACTCGCGGCGCATGCGGCGCATCTTGTGAGGGTCTAGGCCGCCGTTCTCGGGGCGGCCCATGAACTCCTCGTAAAAGGTGCCCATGTCGTTGTCGGGGTACACGACATCGTAGCCAGGGGTAGGGAGGACAATGTCGAAGATGGTGTACTTGCCGCTGGCGGCTTCTTCGGCGGTGAGAGGACGGGCGCGCACAGGAGTGTCGTCGTCATCGTCGACGGGGTTCACAATGTCGTCGCCGTCTTGGTCCTGTCCGCTAACGAGGGGCGTGTTCTCGGTCGGCGCGATGATGAGGTCACCGGTGATGACCTTGGTGCCGTGGAGCTCCCAACGACGGCTGGCAGCGTGGTTCCAGACGTAGGACTGGTAGGCGTGGAGGTACATGGAACGGAGGCCGCGGGTGATGTGGACAAGAGAGCCGATAAAATCGCGCCGCGATTGAGCACCCTGTCGGTTCAGATGTCTAAAGATGCTGTTCTCTGCCGAGAAGCGACGAGGCATGATCTTAATGGCCCTATCGACGTCCTTGCCCGTGAGGAAGAGCATGCAGGACTGATTCCGGAGGTACTCATCCCTCTTAGAGGGCTCCTCAGGGATCTCCCCTGCTTCTGCCTTGTTTGCAATCTCCTCGTCGTAGTGGAGAAGCGCCTTGACTGCTTCTTCGTACTTGTCGCCCAGAATCATCTGTCCAACCTGATGTGTGCCGATATCATGGGTTCCGAAGCGCTGGTGACCAAAGTAGTTGATCCAGCCGTGCTCAGCCATGTGAGCGAGTGCGGGCTCAACGTTCTTCTTTAGCTTCTCAACCTGCTGCTCAATAGACTCGTCGGCTTGGCCGACCATTTGACAGCTCTTGATGGCAATGACAAACTCGTTTCCGAGAAGCTGGCCAAGGTAGATGGGCTTGTCGCTGTACTCATAATCTCCAGTCGACACGCCCCAGAGCCGCCCGTTGATACCGTGGAGGTTTCTGGGTCGCATGTAGCGCACAGAGCATCGCTGCACCGTCGAAGCCCTGCGATCCTTGGTGCCGGCGTATCCAATGACCTGGGGCTTGACCTTGAGGAACCGAGCAATCTGGTTGACGGCGTCCATGGTGTCGCGGTTCTCCTTGAACAGGGTGAAGTGTAGGTACTCGCCGGCGGGCTTCTCCTCGCGGGTGCCACGAGGGCCACGGCTGCGCTTCTTGTTGTTGTTCTTGCGTGGAGGGATAAACGTTGCGACAATGGCGCCCAGGTCAGTCGTGTTGGTGTCTATCCTGGACCTGAAGATGCGACGGATCTCTTGGTGTACTTGACCACGTTTGGGCCTATCGTCCATAGGTTCCGAGGTGACAGACTTCTTCTTCTCATGATCAGCACCTGGACCGGCCTTGTATAGCTCCACAAGCTCCTGCGTAAACTGTTGATCGGTTAGAGTTTCGAGAGTGGCCACGTCTTCGGGAGAGACATCATAGGTCTGCTCAGGTTGCGTCGCGGGCTTGGCTTCTGTGTTTTCGCTAGCCTGCTTCTCAGAATTCTCCTTGGTCTCCTCTTTCTTCGAATCTCCGTTTGATGTCTCTGTCTTGGTCTCCTGTTTTGTCTCTTGAACCTAGTAAAGTCTCAATATTTAAACATGCATCATAGTAGAGATTGCGCACTCACAGGCGCCTCCTCATCAGGGATACCAATATGCTGAAGATGAAGGACAGTGCCATCCTCCTTGATCTCGTTCACCTGAAAGTCCGAGAACCTATGGCCGAGTTAGGACACCAATTGCGATCAGCATCAACACATGAGCTCGTACCTCGTGCGCATCTCACCAGTCCACGGTGTCGCCAGAGGAGTTACCCGCTGGCTGATGCCGATGGACCTAGTGTAAGAGGCACTTCCGCGCACCGCATAGTGAGTTTGATCTGCCATGATGACTGCGCTGCTTGGGAATTGCGTTCAACGCGTCGTGCGACAGCTGTGTTTATGCCATCTATACAATTGCTGGTGGGGCAACTTTGGTATCTGGAATTTTTCTCCGGCAGTACATTTGCGACGGCCACATATAGAAGGCGGTGAGAAACAAGCGCCAACCACACTGCAGGTTGGTGCCGAGTTTGGCAGGCGGTGAAGACCGCATTGGTTGGCGCAGTATCCGTATACCTATGTAGTACTTAATTACTGTTCCTACAATCTTTTCTTCTGCTGGATAAACAGATCCTGCTTAAGAAACATGGATATTCCCTTGCTTAATGTTTGAAACTGGCTAGGGCCTTATCCCTATGTCCTCCGAGGCAGCGGATAAGAATCCCCAAAGAATAGAGTTTAGAGAAGTCGCAATGCCATGATGAGCACTAAACAGAGACGCAACTCAACGAAGGCGGTTCATGGCAAGGAAATGGACGACTCTTTATTTCAGTTGTATCCTGACTGGCAACGAAATCCTCAGTTGGCTTTCACATTAACGTTCGCCAAGAGACGGGTGGCGCTGGAACAAGCCAAACTGACAACTCAGATCAGAAGATAGGTTAGAGTTTTGAAGGATCACATTGAGTTATGAGCAGTGCTATGGCGATCGTTCAGCTCGAGGTTAGTATGGAATGAACATGTCACCAAAATGAGTCCTTCTTGCTACCCAAAGACTGCATCATGTTTGCTCAAGTGGTGTGATAGAACCTGGCATGTCTGGACAGGGAATAATCGGGTATGTGCAAGACATCCATCATTCTCTAACCCAACCAGCCAATCTGGTCATGCATCATGGCTTTCCTTTTCCGCTCCCTCGCTTGCGCATCAATAAGCGACCGGCAAGACATGAGTTTCTCAGCGGCAAGTCTTGCCTTCTGCTTCTGGCCAAGAGACCTGCTCGGCTGCTCGGGAAGCCACGGACTTTGCAAGGATGTCTTCCATTGCGCACGCGTCAAGGCGTGATCCAGCCTCCCCTTAGTCCTTATCCGAGTCCCGTCTGCTCTCCATGACTACGTTCCATGAGGCGGTGTATATGCCTCACTGTACGTAGTGTGGTGTTTGGCGGCAGGCTCCCGATCTCCCGTATTTTCTACAGACTTGCTTTTGTCTGAGCCGTGTCATCTTCGGGTGACTACATGTAGAGACGGCATCTGACATGTCAATCATGAGTAGTCAAGACGGGTGGTGAGGAAAGAGACAGCGGCACGTGGCTCGTAAGACTCTATAATCAAGCGAAAGTGCGACTGGCTGTTCGAGGGAGCTCCTCATGGATCCAACCGAATGACCAATTTGAGATGCTCGCCATTTCTAGCATCAGTATTATCAACATACATCCATTCCCCAGGTATGAATACACGTCTTTTCCCCATTACGACGACTCGTCAAGGGTTACATTAAGGCTTTGGCCAAGGATTCCTCAATGCTCCACCACGCTGATGAAGCCCAGGTACCCTTGTCGCTCACCTCTGCTGCACCGTGGCAGGTACTGGCAGTCTGAAATCTCAGTGAACTGGCTTCATGGCTTCCGGCAAAAGTGAGCAGCGCAACTCGGGCATGGCGGTACCGATGGGCTTACAGAGATTAGGCCAGTTATCCAGCATCGTTCGCGTCTCGGGTCTTAATAATGTCGAGAAACGCAGCGGTAATGGTGGGCGGTCCACTGCCACCTTCGATGAAGACTTTATACTCGAGCTTTCCGACTCTATTCGAGAAAGTCTCGATAGAGGGGAGATTGGGCCGCGATGGGAAGAAGCCATGGGGTTTCTGGCCGCTGCCCTCCGAGACGAGGCCAACAAGCCACCCCTAATGGATCTCGCGACTATCGAGAGAGGTCGTCTCGATAGACTCGTCGCCGATATCACTGACCCCGATAAACGACCTCTGGACGAACCTGACAGATACGCAAGGGACGTGAGGCTAGCAGAACGTCTCGAATGGCGATGGAGGTCTCGGTTCCGGGAACGCTACTTTAGCATCCAGAGTTCCCGATATCTCAAGCTCCCCAAGACGGGTCGACTCAGAGGGGTGGAGAGAGATTTCGGGATCAACAACCCCGGAGAAGAATGGAGAATCAAGCAATTCATGAGACTGCCAGAAATCGATAGAGACGCGGCATTCAAGCCAGGGCAGTAAGACACCCCCTAGGAATGGCCAGTTTGACTTGCTTGCTGATGGATATGTCATAGTTGGTGGCTGAATCTGGCCTGCGCTCAACGAGATGGCATCGTTGACAACCCACGCGAGACACCCACCATAGGACATCTTGGGGGCGATACTCTACCGCTTCTTACAGGGGAAGAGTTCGAGGACCCTGCACTCAAGGATACGACCACTTATATCAGAAACGGTGGGCTGGCAGATATGCACGTATCGCTCATAACCAAAGTCGGCACCGTCATGCGTGTCTTGCGTGGACACAACCTCAATAGCCCATTTGCCCCAAGATACGGCGTTCGATACGATGGATTGTAAGTACTTACCATCTAGACTGCAATTACCGTTAGCTTACTCGAGCCAGATACAAACTGGCCCAATACGGACAGAGATTCTATGAGAAGATGAAGACGGACCGCATGTTTCTAATACTAGAGAGGGTCAAGACACAGCCGCCGATAGAAGACTTTGAGATGGTCCCACGACCCTCACAAATAGACGACTGGGGTCTCTATTCGCAGTACGCCGAGGAGCAAGTCAAGAAGAAGTTGGGGGACAAGGGCTTCCTGAATTAGAAGTTGGAAAAGGCTCAGGAGGAGAATAACCAAGAGGCACACCGCATGGATCGTGTCTTGCGAAAACGATTGACTGCGGAACGTGAAGCAGAGGGTGTTGTAGAAGGACCTAGCATCAAGGAAGATGGCGTCGGAGGGTCTGATGTTCAAGAACCAGGTGCCAAAACACGAGGGTCTGTCTAATTCATGGTGTTGTTCATACCACAGACCCTTTAATATTTGTAGTAAAGGAATTCATGACAGTCATAGAAACCATGTACATATCCCCTGGCTTATACCTGGTGACGCTCGGTTCATGACATGAGGGGTTGCGAGGGCTGCGTCACAAGCTGGAATCCTCAAGGATCCATCCATGGCGGGGCAGAAAAGTCCCAGCTCAACATCCCACCGCCATAGCCATATTTCTCTCCCACTCTCTAGCACGACAACTCGAGCGACAAGATGGGCAAAACTAACAAGGGCGGCGACAAGGGGGGTAAAGGCAAGGGAGGAAAGGAGAAGAGCGAAAAGACCAAGGATAGTAAGGACGCTGGAGGCGGCAAGGCAAAGGGTGCTCAGAGCATCAACGTCCGCCACATCTTGGTGAGTCGATGAGTGAGCTTCAGAGGGGGGACATTACTGCTGACAAAGACGGGACAATAGTGTGAGAAGCACGCCAAGAAGGAGGAAGCCCTGGCAAAGCTCAACGAGGGCGTCAAGTTTGACGAGGTTGCGCGCGAGTTCTCCGAGGACAAGGCCAGACAGGGCGGTTCGCTTGGATGGAAGACCAAGGGCAGCTTGGATCCCAAGTTTGAGGAGGCTGCTTTTGTTCTTGAGACGAGCACCACGGCCAGTCCCAAGTTTGTCGAGGTCAAGACTGAGTTTGGGTATCATATCATCATGGTGAGTTTTACGGTAGACACTTGGGAGAGCATTTTGCTGATAGGCTTAGGTCGAGGGACGAAAGTAGACGAAGCTCACAATCAGACATACACACGTATACCAATGCATCAATCACAGCAACAGATACGCAATTTCAAAACCAATGATGCCCAATTTTTTTTATTCCTCTCGATGCAATATGGCCATGAGACGTAAGGCCTTGTGTGTGGTTCAGATGCCAACCGAAGTGGCTAGAGTGCAACAACCGCAAAGTCGTGTTGTCAAGCGGCCCCGAAAGCCAAGCCCGCAACTCTATACCCCTTCCACTGCCCAACGCCCTCTCCGCAGAGAATTCCTTTACTGCTCGGTCTGGAAGTAGTTCAGGAGGATGGATCGCTCCTGAGACTCCTCACCCCAGTCCTTAACGACGACGCAAGAGCAGTTGACGACCTTGCGGGCGTTGCCCTCACGGTCGAGGACGCCTAGACATGACATGTTAGCATTTCCACTCATGATCCCTCTAATTTCCAATTCCACGTACAGAGACCAGCCCACTCGCCGAGCTGCTTGCCATCAGGGATCTGGATCAGGGGAATGTTGTGCTCGTTGCAGAGAGCGACAACAAGCTTCTTGTAGGCCTCCTCCTCGCAGTTCTCGTTCAGGACACACATGTGAGCCTGTCGTCGGTCGAGGGCCTTGGAAGCCTCTCGGAGGCCGCGGGCGAGACCATCGTGCATGAGAGCGAGCTTCAGGACACCCTTGAGAGCGTCGAGAATGGACATCTGGCCCTTGGGGGCATCGCCGGAAACCTCAACAACATCGGCGACCTCGGGGGTGTTGTCTTCTACGTCCGACTAATATCGCGAAGAACCCGTTAGTAAATCGTGTGCCACCAGATCAAAAATTCCACCCCGCCGTCGCAAAAATCGTCACGCCGCGGGCGCGCGGGCAATTGGTGCGCAAGGGGCGTCGGATATCGTCAAACTCACCATCTTGGCTTGTTTTCTTGTCGGGCGATCCTCGAAGATTTCTATGTGTATCAAAGGGAAAAGGGAAAAAAAGGTTGGAAGGACGGGGGTTTGAGTCGTGATCTGGAAGTGTCTTCGTTCAGTCCCACGGTGATTTGCCGAAATCTAAACGACCCGAGTGCGCTGTACCCTTAGGGCATTTTTACGTGCACGGACCACCAGGGCACACCGCACACTCCCACTCCCAATCTTGACTTTTTTTTTTCTGCCCACAACGCGTGCTTCTCTTTTCCAACCAACCAACGACTCAACGTCAAATTCAACGAGGTATGTATGATTGATGACGCCGCCGGACAGCGATTCGAAATCAGAAGGATGATGCCTTTCACCATGGCAGGAGAGAGCAATCGAGGGCCACGCCGGCCGTGAGCTCTCGATACCGCTCTTCTCTTCAGCACTGGGCGGCAGAACCCTCGCGATGCGGTCGCTGAGGGCACTCTCCACGCTCACGAAGCCTTCGGAAGGGCTAACACTTGGCTTTGCTCCTGGCAGATACCTCATTTCCCGTCCCGACTTGAGAATCTCCTCAAAACACCGCCAAAATGGTCCGCACTTCCGTTCTCCACGACGCTCTCAACTCCATCAACAATGCCGAGAAGGCTGGCAAGCGTCAGGTCATGATCCGACCTTCCTCCAAGGTCATCATCAAGTTCCTCCAGGTCATGCAGCGCCACGGTAAGTCACGGACTTTTGTTCTCTTCTTCTACAATCTCCTTTGTTCGGCATGATAACTAGGGCTACCGTCGATACCACACCACGACTCAGCCCCTATAAATTGCCGATAGATTAAACCTCGGAGATCTTACACGTTTTTCTGATTTTTCTTACCCATGACGTCTAACGTTTAGTCTCTCGACACATCAACTGACTCTTTATCCCAGGTTACATTGGCGAGTTCGAGGAGGTCGATGACCACCGCTCCGGCAAGATTGTCGTCCAGCTCAACGGCCGCCTCAACAAGACCGGTGTCATCTCCCCCCGCTACAACGTCCGCCTCTCCGAGCTCGAGAAGTGGGTTGTCAAGCTGCTCCCTGCCCGTCAGTTCGGCTACGTCATCCTGACCACCTCTGCCGGTATCATGGACCACGAGGAGGCCCGACGCAAGCACGTCTCTGGCAAGATCATTGGCTTCTTCTACTAAACGGGACGGGTAACCAAAAAAAGTTTTTGAGGGAAAAGAGTCTGGCATTCTCGGCGTTGGGGGGGATTATGATGACAATGACCGATGCGATACCATAGCTATGGAGCTGGTCGCACACGCGAGCACTAGAATTGAACCTTGACGAGATGCTCAGATTCACCGATTCAGATGGCCACTGTGAAGTCTATGTCAGTATGCTATTTGTGTCTTATTCTTGTCCAAACGCAAACTCTGTGTTCCAACAATTCCAGTGTTGCATGCCATACTATGCCTTGTAGTGTCTTGTAACCCGTAGCTGATGTTGAATCTGGAATGGCGGGTTTATGTTCTGCCGGACTATTGAGCTGTCCATGTTGGATTGGGTACACGAGATACCTGATACTTCTATGAGAATAATGGCTAACAGACAATTCCCACCGAGCGTCATGTCTTCGACTGGGCGTATAAGTTGGCAGCCGCCAGAGCCTGACCCTTCCCTGGCACGTTTCGAGGCCAGGTGCCAAAAGGCCAAACAGCAGCCATTCCTCGACGAGAGACCGATGAGCGAGGTTGTAACGTCTTGCGCCTGGCGAAACTTCCGTCAACCTCATCTAGGGCATTTTGAGCACCAGGGAAAGATCAACTTCAAGAGACTACTAGGCTACGGGGTTGATGGCGTCGTCTGGAAAACCACCATTGATGAGCGCGTCTATGCGCTCAAAGTTGTAAGTTTATTCATGCCCACGTGTGTATCCACGGTGGTGATGTGCTGATTATCAAGTTCTGGGACAACAAACCTCCAGAAGGCACACGATACTGGTCAGTTCAGCGAGAATGCCAGAATGTCTCCCTCCTCGAGATGATGCGGTTCTCGATTGAAAACTCTTCTGACCCTATTCGATTACATTCACAACCGCAAACATATCGTGATGCACTGGCCAACCTCCACGCCTTCTCCGACGGGGGCCGTGAGAGGCAATCATTTCGAGACACACCTGGGGCGATCGAGTACGGCACTCCCCCTCGTGTCAGGAGGTGCTACGGCTGGATGATGATAAGCGGCGAAGAGCTTTGTGCGCTACCTTTGAAGATGCGAATACCGGAAGTAAGACTGCAAGGTGCCGTACGCAACATTTCACCGAGGGAAGATTACCACGCCATCGTGTATGAATACGTGTCTAACACCGGATGTGCCTTATCTTCAGAGGTTGTGCAAGCGCAGCTGGATTTCTTTTGGCTCGCTGGGTTCTGCTTGGTGCCATCACGAGCAGAGAATTGGAAAGGAGTGGGAATCCTGGTAGATATGGCGGATCTTATATGTCCTTGGCATATCCCGTGGCATCCAAGTCTATATGGGCAAAGGAGAGCAGCAGAGGTGTGTGATGGCAGAGCAATCTGAGCATGAGAAGCCGGTGTAATGTTGGTATTCAAGAGTGTATGAGGTCAAGTTGGCTAAACAAGCCGAACAACACGAAACAACCCATCCCTCATCTCAAAGCTTCCCAGTGTTTCTACTACAAAACGTCAAAACCGGCGGGGGCCAGCAAGCAGCAAGGGAGTACCAAACGCACCTGTCAGTCGAAGGCGTCACTAGTCACCTAGGCGGCCTTGCCGCTACAAGTCGGACATGGAATACCATTGACAATCTTGTTGCCTCCGCAAGTTTCGCAGAAAGCCATGGTGTGTCTGTAATCTTTGTGGCAGATACTCTTAGAATTTGCGGTTTAGCGACTGATTGAGATGGAAGGTTTACCACGACGAAGGAAGACGACCTTGGTACTGACGCCAGTGAGGTGCTACATATTCATCTATAGGGACCCCACAAGTTGGTCAGATATCAGGTTGCTGCCCGACGATCCAACCCTGGACTGCAATTGCACGGACTGAAGACAAAGGCAAGGATAACGGGAACGGAAGAAGACCAAAGGATACAATTACAAACACAAATGAGATGGTTCGTCAAGTTATGGATGTTGATACTCAAGTTGATTCACTACAGGTACCAACTACTAGAATCCCTTCTCAACGAGAAAGTTACGTGGTAGGTACCAAGGTAGGTCCTCTGATATATCACAGTCACGTGACTATGAATCTGGTCAGCGACCCAAAGTCGTTGTAGCAACGCGATCGAGAACCAAGCCATTGTTTTCTTTATCCGTGCCCGTCCAATGAGAACGTCCCAGCGCCAGCCAGTCTCACCTCTCAACGTCGTTTTCATCGCGGAACTTGGATGGCAAGACATCTAACTTTTGTCACGAATACGCATTAATCTTATCATGATTCTTTCACTGGCCTGATTCTTACAGACTTTAGCGCATCTCAAAGGATACCCCTACTTCTGTCTGGCACAGAGCCATCGACAAGATGTGGTCTCTCGTATCTTTTCGAACTTCTCAACGACGGCAGCTCTTTTCAGTCGCTGCCCTCGTATTCTTCTTTTTCTGTGCCTATACACTACTACGGATACCACCGGATCAATCTGAGAGGTACCAGGTACAGACACAAAGACAGGAACAAGCACCAATACAACCTCAATCAACTCCAGGGTCAGAAGATAAGGCGTCGACTGAAGGAAGCCCAAACCCCAAGGCAGTTCCCGAATCAGGGGTACATCCCATCACATATCTCGTCAAAAATGCGCAGCGCGAGTTTGAAGAGGTTAAGGCCAGGCAATCCAAGTCGCTTCAGGAAGCAGTTGTCGAGTATCGCCGGAGATATGGAATGCCACCACCACCTCACTTTGACAAGTGGTATCAGTTTGCCAAAGACAATGGGGTCAAGCTGATTGACGAATTCGACACCATTTATGATCTTATTACGCCGTTTTGGGGACTCAGACCCAAGACTATTCGAGCTCGAGCCAGAGAAGCATTGGGATTCGACAACGGACTAATTGGAGTGTCGATCCGTGATCACAAGATCACTTATATCCAGAACGGCGTCGAATGGCAGCAGAATGCCACAAAGGGCATGATGACAAAGTTTCTCCAATATCTCCCAGACATGGATCTCGCTTTCAACTTTCACGACGAGTCCCGAGTTATTCTATCTCACGAGGATCTGGCGAGATTGGTCAAGACGGCAAAAGAAAAGTACATGCCCGCAGCTTTTGCGGCTGAGAAACCCGCCAACGACTTTACCAAGACCAACTCGGAGCTTCATGATGGAAAGTCGTTTGAGGAGACGACTCTTTCACGGTTCAACTTCTTTGCGCACCAGTCGACTTGGTCTCATTCTCGCCTGTCATGCCCACCAGACACTCCGGCCCGGTCTATCGAGGATGATGAGAGCGTCGATTATCGGAGTAGGTACGGTATGAGCGACCTCGGTTTTGTCTACAACACCACCGCCATGTCCGATATCTGCCTCTCGCCCTCTCTCAGGTCGACGTTTGGCTTCTTTGGTGGCCCTAACTCATACGGCATCGTTCAAGACCTGTTCCCTATCTTTTCTCAATCCAAGATCTCGTCCTACAGCGACCTCCTCTATCCCTCCACCTGGGATTGGGCCGGCAAGGTGGAATACGACGAGGACATGGACATGGAATGGGCCAAGAAAGAGAGCAAGCTGTACTGGCGCGGCTCCACGACAGGAGGATACAGCCGCGATGGCCGCTGGCGACGACAGCACCGTCAACGTCTCGTCCAGAAGCTCAACGCCCGCGATCAAGCCCACGTCCTCACCAGCCAGAGCGCACCTCCCTGGGGCGCTAGCGAAGTGCCCCGCGGCGAATACCGCGACCTCGTCGACGTTCACTTCTCCCATATTGGGCAGTGTGACCCAGGCGACTGCGAGGCCCAAAGGGCATTCTTCAACGTGACCGATGCCGTGGACCAGCAGGACGCCTGGCGCAACAAGTACCTCCTCGACATGGACGGCAACGCCTTCTCGGGCCGCTTCGGCGCATTTCTGCGTAGCAAGAGCCTCGTCTTCAAGCTCGCCGTCTTTCGCGAGTGGCATGCCGAATGGCTCAGGCCGTGGGCTCACTACGTACCCTTCAGCGTGCAGGGCGACGACTGGCTCGAGGCGGTGCGCTTCTTTGACAGCGAGGAGACTGCCCGAGGGGAAGGCGAGCGAATCGCCATGGCCAGCCGGGAGTGGGCGAATCAGGCTTTCCGTCAGGTCGACATGGAGGCGTGGTTCTTTCGGTTAATGCTAGAGTAAGTATTTCCTGTGGATACTCTTAAGATGATGCTAACATGTCTAGGTATGCTCGGGTGATAGACGATAAGAGAGAGGCGATTGGCTATGATCGCGCCAGCGCGAATAAGAAGCTTCCTACAACAGAGGGAACTGACTAAATGACTTGTGATATTACGGCTTTGGATGGCATTGCATATGGGAACATGGGGCATGGGTTTCATGGCGTTCAGGTTGGGTTGGAATATATACAGCACGAAGGCTACACAGAGGAGGACCTCTATGCACGAGTTAACGCGTCTTGGATAGATATATATCCATCATGTTACAAGTTGAATTTTACTGTGCCTGGAATCTATGATTAAACTAGCCCTACGCCGGATTCGCCAAAAGGATGCATCTTCTCTCACGAGTTCTCCCGATTTGATCGTGACTCTCAATCTTGAGCGACAACAATACACGGCCCACTCGAACCAGAGTCCTACTCCTCCTCGCCCTCGGCGTCACGATCCTCAGAGGCCGATCTTGAGCGGTGGCCCGCTGGACTATGATGCGCATCCTCCTCACCCTCGGCGTCATGGTGTCCATGCTCCTCCTCTTCCTCCTCCTCGCCCTGTCCCCAGCCTAGAGGGTTCTCGCGGTACTGCTTCATGGCCTCCTTCATGACTTCCGTGGGATCCTCTACCGTGATGTCGAGCTGGTCCACTATCTGCTCCTCCTCAGCGATGCCAATCTTGCGGGCAATGTTCTTGGTTCGCTGAGGTCGGATGACAGACTTTTGCATCACGGGGTAGTAGTAGACAGCTTTCTGGTTAGGATAGAATGTGTCCTCGTTGTACGCCAGGATAATCTCCTCCTCGAATTTGGTCGAGTGGTCGAGCTCTGTCTCCTGAGACGTCTCGTACGCTCGGAGTCGGTTATACTGGAAGCAGCCGCCGGCGTCTGACTCGTGTGTATACAGCTCCTCCTCGTTGTGCTCGGGGTTCTCGACGTCAAACTTGCGGCGGAAGCGGTCGCCTGCAGAGGTTGACTGCGCGAGGTAGTAGTCGTAGTTCATCAAGTTCTGGGGCTTGGGGTTGTTGACAGGGTCCTGGTCGTGGGCTGCGAGCGCCAACTCGTAGGCCTCTTCCTCCTGAGGCGTTCGGTCTATGGGCCTGAACAGACCGCTGAGCAGACGTTTATCATAGGTGGACTCGCTGGCTACTGGGTTCTGATGGAATTTGAGGGTGACGTATGCACCAGAGTCAGGGAAGGCATCGAGATCGGGGATGAGAGGAGAGCAGTCCACCACGGTAAGGTTCCTCTTGGAGGGATGCTTGACGCGCTTGGGGTCCTTGAGGTCGTGCTCGGCAATGTCGAAGCCCTTGTCGATCTTGCGCTTGATGGCCTGAGGCGAGTTGGCGGCGGGTTCGACGAAGCGACGAGACTTGTTGGCCTTTGTGAGCAAGGCGCGAGGGAGAGGTCCATCGTGGCGTTTCGTGACTGTGGACGAGATGTACTCGGTTCGACGAAGGAAGGAGACGTTGGCCTCGGCGACCTTTAGTTTTCCGAGGGCGGCAATGGGTCTTAGAAGTGGTCGGTCGTGAGGGTGAAGAGTAGGAGGATGAGCAGGCGCCTGAATTGCTATATAGAGTCAGTATGAGCAGTCCCCATCGCCAAAACCAAAACTCACATCGTTCATCGCCATCGAAAACACCAGGCATGCCCACCAGGTCAAGGGGCATGCCCAGCTCAGCATCAGCCTCGATGTTCAAAGGCTGCTCCCTCGCAAGCCTTGATGCAAAACCAGGAGTCGTGTATTGGCCACTTGCAAGGCCCGTGTTGGGGATGTCGAGCAGCTTTGGCGGATGTGGTGGCGGCGGGAGCGCATTGGAGAATCGGATGCGAGCGATGAAGTCCTGGTGAATGACGCGCTCGCCTGAGCGAGGAGCTGAAGACGACATGACTGTGTCGAATGGCGATCGGCGCCGGGGAGGTTATGAATTGGTAAAAGTGAAGCCCAAGATGTGAAGAGGGGGCGCGCAGATGAAGGGGTTTGGTTGGGTTGGTTGATGGAAAGGTGTTGGCGCGCGCACGGCTGAGATCAAGGTTGAGGAAATCTGACTTTGCTGCGCAAGGCTGGCCCATCAGAGGAGAGCTCCACGTCGCGTCAACACCACCACCAAAACCACCAATTTCCCTTCTTCTTTCAACATTTCAAGACAATAGAATCTGACAATACACATCCAATTATCATACTTTTAATGCCGTTTCATTAAATGGTTCATCTCAAGACTCGAGCCTCTTGCGCTCTCGTTCGGTTCGCCCTAGTCCCAAGCCCCATTCAAAGTCTATAAAACTACGTTTTGTTTCGTAGGCAACTCCCAGTTCCGTTATCGCCAATCCCAGTTATCGCCCGTTCGATTTCGTCCATCCATCGCTCCCACCTCATGATTTGCATGCAAGTAACAGCATTCCCCGAGACACACACACATCGCATTAGTGCGCAGCTTCATAAAGCTAGCCGCGGTGTTTATACAGGACACGCAGGACCCAGGTTCGGTTGGTTTCCCAGGTCGGTCGTGCCGAAAGAAGAAAATATCAGTCGTAAAATCTTCCCGTCGTGAATCAAGAGCTGTTCTTGGCGTAGTTCTTCTTGCCAACAGTGAAGGGCACATAGCGGTACTTGATCATGTGCTGGATCTGTTTTCGCACTGCGGGGGTTAGAATATGACTGTAAATATGTAGTAGGTCGAGACTCACTGGTAAGAACAAAGAGGATAATCCAGTACATGACCAACACGGGCCAGAAGACGGGCACGTTAAAGACCTCGAACCAACTGCACACAAACGAGATGGCGATGGCTCGGGTGGCCCAGTACCAGAACTTGAACTCGGGGAGTCGTCGAATGAAGGGCTTAAACTCCTCATCCTGCTTGGTGGGGAGAGTGCCCACGGAGCCGTCCTCCATCTCATTGTCGATCTCTTCGTTCGAGGGGTCAAACTTGGGCTGCAAGAAGGCCAGGAACAGGTTCAGCAGGTAGATGCCGAGCGCATAGGCAACTATACCATGTTAGTTGTAAAGTTTGGCGTAGAGTGGCTTCCTGGAATGAAGGCGTACCGATGTACCAGCCCTGCGCGAACAGGATTCGAAGGAAGAAGAGGAAGAGGCAGACAACGGTGCCGATCCATCGGTAGAGGACAAAGGGGGTCGACTGGTCCAGCAGAGCTTGGTAATGCTACAATCAAAGTGTCAACGGAGTCGCTTGCGCCGTGGGTTCGCCCCCGAAAAGACATACGCGCGCAATCTTGGATGTGTGGACGCTGACAGCCTCGAAAGGGGTCTGCTCAGGCTCTGGCGCATTCATCTTGAACAAGTGTCGATTCGAGTCGCCTCGGGTCGATAAGAAACAGGAAATCTCAGTACAGCGTCGTCCAAGTCGAGAAACAAAAGATCAAGCCCTCAGAGACAAGAAACGGCGACTATGACCCTGTTGAGGAAGAAGAAGGATTGATGGGAGGATTAAAGTTGCGATGGATGGCGAATCCAAGAATGCGAGCAGGGGACTTGCAACGTTTGGACTTTTTGGCGATGCAGCCACGTAAGGCCAGTTCTGCTCCCCCCAAATGTTCTACCGGGTCTTTACCGGCGCAGCAAGAACCGTTGGCCGCCGGGTGGCCTCCCTTGGAACCGGAAAATGAGCCATCTCATTGGTGATTCAGAGGCTCCGGGGCAAATTAGTTTCCAAGGTTAGGGGATTTCTTGGAGAAACACCCCTTGCCCCCCACCTGTCATTGGGGCGCAGTCGGTCGTGTAGGTCGCGTTTCGCGAGATGCCACTTTAAGCAATGCATATCCCTTTTCAAGCCCTGGAGCCTCAAATGGTAGGACGTGTATGACCTGCTTGTTTGGGTTGAACTAGGTTAAACAACTCCCCTTGTACTGTTACCATGTCTATGTAATCTTATGCTGTCCACTCTGCTTCACTCTTTGTAGGTTGCGGTTCACATCAAGTCTGGTGTTAGTGGAGCTACGAGAGCCAATTCGGCTGCCTAACACATTGCATCATCGCTCTCATGCGTAGAAAAGGAGGTAAATGGATCTAATACATCAATACCCGGAGGTTTAGAAACCACCATCAAGGCTTCAAGTCAATGTCCATATTGACTATCCCCAACTCCATAGTTGCTTCGGCTCAATTCACGTGACGGTTCCAAGCCGTCGGCTTTGCCATGGATATGGGCGGCTGTTGTCCATATCCTCGGCTCATTTACCGACGCTTTCCTTTTGCGTCACTGTGAGCTTAGTAAAGCTCCCTCGTCTCCAGCTCCAAGCTTTCAGTATCAACCTCCAGTTATATATCGCTCGGCCAATTGTTTCTACTTGAGAGAATTCAAAGGCTTCATTTCTTCACATAGCGGGTCTAATCATACCATTGTTTCCTTTTGATCACAATTTGCTCTCCCTTGGTTCAAGATGAACGCCCTCCGATGCATGAGACCTGTGGCCGCTCGAGTGCCCTTCCAGCCATCTACTCTTCCCCGAATTGCTCGGGCATACAGCTCAAAGAGTTATGAGTTCATTCAGGTTTCTCAGCCGAAGCCCGGTGTTGGCCAAGGTAAGCCCCTGCTTACAATTGAGGGGTTGCTGCATCAATATCTCACAAACTGACCACCATCAGTGACATTGAACCGCCCCAAGGCTCTTAATGCTCTGTGCACACCTCTCATCAAGGAGCTCAATGAAGCTCTTCTCGACTTCAATGCCGCCAAGGATACCTCGGTCATTATTCTGACCGGTTCTGAAAGGGCCTTTGCTGCCGGTGCTGATATCAAGGAGATGGCCCCGCTCACCTTTGCTGAGGCTTACACCAACTCTTTCATCGAGTCCTGGTCCGACCTCACCACCCAGGTCAAGAAGCCCATTATCGCCGCCGTATCCGGGCATGCCCTCGGTGGCGGCTGCGAGCTTGCCATGATGTGCGACCTCATCTACTGCACCGAGACGGCCAACTTTGGCCAGCCCGAGATCAAGCTCGGCACCATCCCCGGAGCCGGCGGCAGCCAGCGCCTGACCCGTGCCATCGGCAAGTCCAAGGCCATGGAGCTCATCCTGACGGGCAAGTCCTTCTCCGGAGCCGACGCGGAGAAGTGGGGTCTCGCCGCCAGGACGTTCCCTACCCACGAGGCCCTGATGGAGGGCACGCTGAAGCTGGCCGAGACCATCGCCGGCTACTCCAGGGTTGCCGTCGTGGCGGCCAAGGAGGTGGTCAACAAGAGCCAGGACCTGCCGCTGCGTGATGGCGTCGAGTACGAGCGCCGAGTGTTCCACAGCCTGTTCGGCAGCCAGGACCAAAAGATTGGCATGAAGGCGTTTGCCGAGAAGAAGAAGGCCGAGTGGACTCACTCATGAAGAAAACATGGGATGAGAATATGAGATGAGATGGTGGCGATGCTGCTGTAGTTGCTATTGCTGGAGCTGCTTATGGCTTCCTTGCCTCGCTGCGGCTTACGAAGGAAGCAATCCTCCTCAGAATTAGCCTTGGTAGATGCAATACAGACCCGTTGCAACCGCAGGACGCGAGATGTGTTTGTTTATGCTTGCAAGTAGTGGAATCAATGGTAAGTTCCGAAAATAGATGATTCCATCCTGCATAGTTAGGTATAGTGAGAACCAGTCACAGCATGGACAAAGAAAACACCCATGGTCCATAGACGGATTTCAAGACTTTCATATCCATGCAAATATTCATATCTTCTGGGCCCACAAACATCAAACGTGCCAAATGTCTCGGGATCAATCAAGACTCCGCCCTTGTGACTACCTAGAAACGTATCTTTCAACCACTTGACACCATCTCGCTGTTCATGAGGTGGGGGGGAGGTAGTGGTTCCTCCAGGGATGTTGTAAGCGGACATCTGCAGTTAGTTGGTGTGAGCGAGAAGGATGGATGGGATGGAAGGCTCCGCATGATGACACGGGAACAGCCACAACCCGCTGTTGGTTCATGTCAATGGCGGGCTAGAGGATTACGGTAAGGATGAGGTCAGGGAAGAGTCAACAGAGAGTGAATGGAAAGTAAACAACCGAAGCCAGTCCAATGCCCCATCTTGGGATGCTCTGCGGATAGCCTATCATTGCCTGATGGACAGCGTGTTGGTTATACGTCAAGTGTCTCGCAGGCCTCGCACACGGTCCACAGACATACATGAGGAAATGGAAACTCTCGTCTTCTCTGTAGCTGCCCAACCTCTTCCGCCTTCTTTTTGGTCTTGTACACGCTGTTTAAAAAAAAAAAAATGTGTGTGCCATCGGATGGGATGCCAATGCAGCTATTTCCTCCGCCTTTTCCTCTCTCGTAGCGCCCATGCCCAGGCCCAGGCCAGGCCCCCAAGACCCAAGACCAACCCCCGCCACCCACTAATGGATGACCTCTAATAGTCGGCCCAACGCCCATCCTCGACCAGACTCGTATCCTCAAACATATCTCTGCTGTATTCTTCAGCGGAGGCTCCTCCTGCGTGCGCATTCCGTTTTACCCAGAATATGGGCTGTAGTCTATATACAGTGACATGAATGGAGCCTCCACAAACCGGCCTGGACCTGGAAAAGGAGCTTACGTGCTCGGTATGTCCTTCTCCCCGCCTTTGATCTTGCATCACCACCAACCCATCACTAACCTTGCGCAGATCTGCACGGAGCTCCTATACCGACCTTTGACCCTTCTTGACTGCCTTCACACCTTTTGCGGCGCCTGTCTCAAGGAATGGTTCTCCTTTCAAGCCACCACGGCCGAGCGATCGCCAAACCCGCCAGTTCCCGGCGCCAACATCTTTACTTGCCCATCATGTCGAGCCTCCGTTCGAGATACCGCCCACAATGCCACCGTTGTGACGCTGCTGGACATGTACATCGCTGCGAATCCGGATAAGGATCGGTCGGCCGCGGAGAAGGAGGAGATGGCCAAGAAGTACAAGCCTGGCGACCAGGTGGTGCCCAAAGTAAACACCCATAGAACGGCGGAAGAGCGGCGCGCAGATGAAGACGATAGAAGGCTGGTGGATGAAGTTAGAGAACTGAGTCTGCAGGAATCTGGAATATCATCTGGACCCCCAAGGACACGACGAAGACGTGAGAGTCGCTCTGCGGATGATAGAGGCAGGTCGGGCAGAGATCGGAGCTTGGACAGCCGCCAGCGTCGGCCAGGACATCGCCCTCGCACAGACGACGGAGCCCGCCACAGCGCCGACCAGCTATCTGAGAGCGAACGGAGACATCGACGAAGCGACTCGAGACAGCGCCAGATTGAGCATCAGTCATCCATCAGGTCGCTCATCAGCTCGGCTGACATGAGCGAGCGAGATATTGAAAGAGAAATCGAGGACTTTGCCAGACAGATCCAAGAAGAAGGCCTTCTTGACGGACTTGATTTGGATAGTATCGACTTGAGTCGTGATGACGAGCTTAGCAGGCGCATCACCGAGGCGTATCGACGACGACAGAGGGAACGCGCGCGAGGAAACACATCGCGGAGGACCAACGGGAGTAGCTATCAGCCATCATCACGGGACACAGAGTCTGGGCAGTCGGACTCCCGCATGCTAGCCCCGGACGGAAATAGGCCACCCAGAGGAAGACCCCGTCCTCATTCCAGGTCAACAAGCGCCGCCAGTGCGGCCAGCGCTGCAAGTCAAACCGAGGAGCGAAGTCGTCCACCCCCGTCCAACCCTTCAGCAAATCTCGAGGTACAGGACACAGGTCGACGGACAAGGCGCAGGACCGCCAGCGGAAGCCGTAGTGCTACTGCGCCAGTCTTTCCAACTACCAACGAGGCCAGACCTGCTACCCGATCTTCGACTGATCTTACATTGAGATCTCAAACATCGGATCCGACTCAATCTCGACCTAGCTTCAGTGAGGGACGTAGCACCAGCACTCCTATTCATCATGGACCGTTCCCTAACCCATCCGAAGCTGCGGCGTCAACGGGCAACAATGGAAACCTGTCTTTTGCCAACCGGCAAGGAAACACGTCAAACACCTCGGGTGCGGTGCAGTCTTCAACCAGCCATGTTGAACAAACAGCAGGACGCAGTAATCGTTCCCGTCCTGCAGACCTCGCGATTGTTCACCAGACGGTGGCCAGTCCAATCAGTAGCCCAACTGTTTCGGGCCAGGGACATCAGAGAACAAGATCTCAACTATTCCCCGAGCCATCCATCAGCTGTGCTCGATGCAACAAACCACACATTGAGTACGAGCTTCACTACAACTGCTCCATCTGTGCCAGTGGTCAGTGGAACATGTGTCTCGACTGCTACCGAGCTGGTAAGGGTTGCCTTTACTGGTTTGGATTTGGTTACGGTGCCTGGTCCAAATGGGAAAAGACGCGCCAGCAGAAAGGAGATCCCTCAATGGCAAGGCCGCATCTGCTCACAGCAAGTCGGTATCGACCTCCTCGTGCCACTCCCGGCGGTGCAGATGGTCGGAAAACCATGACAACTGACGATCCCCGGCATCGACTAGAGAGCGGCACATTTTGCGCCAGATGTTCCGCCTGGACAAACGAGTGTTACTGGCGCTGCGATGTCTGTAACGAAGGAGATTGGGGTTTCTGTAACAATTGCGTGAATCAAGGGAGATCATGCTCGCATACTCTGCTGCCATTAGCACATGAAGCAACACAACCAACTCAAAGCAGATCAGGAAGCCCACCAAGATCACCAGGAAGACCTCCAGCAGCAACCATCTTCAAAGGACCCAACGCGTCAAACGCTGGCCCCTTCAAGCCCCTGACGTTTGCGACACGATGCGATATCTGTCAGGATCCTATTCTCCCGAACAAGGCAAGATATCACTGCTATCAATGCACAAGCTCTCTAGTTCCAGATGCGGCGCCAGGCGATTACGATATTTGCGCTTCTTGTTATGGCACTCTCGTCACTCAGCGCCAGATCAGCCCTGAGAACGGACACGCTGGGTGGAGGAGGTGTCTTCACGGTCACAGAATGGTTGTTGTTGGATTCACTGACGGAAAGATTGGGCAGTGGAGGTACATCGCTCAGGACATAGTTGGAGGCCGTGGGCTACGATTCGAGCCAGCCGACAAGCCCGAACATCGCGAGAAGGGACTTCAGAAATGGGTATGGCAGCGTGGCGATCAGACAGCAGCTCGTCTCGTCACCAGAGACGTATCAGAAACAGCACCCTCCAACGACGGCTCGACAAACTTTACACAGAGCTTCCCTCCGGATGGCGGAGTGGGCATGAAGGCGAGCGCGAGGTGGGGATGGTATCCCAAGTCGGGAGCAGACGACGAGCTCCTCTTCCCTCGGGGAGCAGAAATCAAGGAAATTGAAGACGTGAACGGAGATTGGTACTTTGGGACATACATGGGCTCTCGGGGACTGTTCCCAGCGCCGTATGTGCGGCCGGATCAGAATTCCTCTTGAGAGGCTGGAGCATGGAGTAAGACAAGGGGTCGACGGCGCCTCATTGGATCAAGAGACTTATGATCAACGTTTCCAGGATATCAAATCTTTCATATTTACTGCGTATATATCATTCAAATATCCATATCTCACAAAATTTGTCATCTCGAGCGTTATGGTGTCATTGAGGCCATCATGGAACTCGGTGTGGATCCTCGCCGACAGCCCGGGATTGCGCCATAGCTGCCCGCCGGTTGCGGCCCCACCACATCTAGACGCTTTCCCTTCTTACCAAGCCAAAACCCTCCACAAAGCAACCTCGCTCACCTGGGACTCTTTTTGTTTCCGCTGCTCTGTCAATTGACCTCTTCCGAAGCTCGCGAGCCTCCTCCTCCGTCCCAATGTTCCGTCACAGCGTCCGGCGGCTCGCCGTGGCTGCCGCAAAGGCTGCTGAGCCTAGCGCCCACACCATCGCCGTGTCCCAGGCTCAGGGCGTTTCTCGGGGTCTTACCGGAGGTTTGTAGCCCATATGTTACTCCATGTGATAGCTGCACAAGCTAACTTTCAGCTACAGCCATCGGGAACACCCCCCTCATCCGCCTTAACCACCTCTCCGAAGAGACGGGCTGCGAGATCCTCGGCAAGGCCGAGTTTATGAACCCCGGTGGCTCGGTCAAGGATCGTGCCGCCCTGTACGTGGTCAAGGACGCCGAGGAGCGCGGCCTGCTCAAGCCCGGCGGCACCGTGGTCGAGGGCACCGCCGGAAACACGGGCATCGGTCTCGCCCACGTGTGCCGGTCGCGGGGTTACAAGCTCGTCATCTACATGCCCAACACGCAGTCCCAGGGCAAGATCGACCTCCTCCGGCTCCTCGGCGCAGAGGTCTACCCCGTCCCCGCCGTCGCCTTTGACAACCCCGAGAACTACAACCACCAGGCCCGCCGCCACGCCGAGCGACTTGACAACGCCGTCTGGACGAACCAGTTCGACAACACTGCCAACCGCCGGGCGCACATTGAGACTACTGGACCTGAGATCTGGACTCAGACACAGGGCAAGGTCGACGCCTTCACTTGCGCTACTGGTACTGCTGGAACTCTGGCCGGTATCACTCGGTATCTTAAGGAGGTCTCAAACGGCAGGGTGAAGAGCTTCCTCGCCGATCCCCCCGGCAGTGTTCTGCACTCATACATCTCATCAGGTGGCAAGCTCATTGAGCGCACGGGGTCCAGTATCACTGAGGGCATTGGCCAGGGTCGCATCACGGACAACCTCCAGCCCGATATCGGTCTTGTGGACGGCTCTCTGACCATCGCCGACGAGAAGAGCATTGAGATGGTGTACCGCTGCCTTGACGAGGAGGGTCTGTACCTGGGCGCCAGCTCATCCCTCAACGTGGTGGCGGCCAAGGAGGTGGCCGAGAAGCTGGGCAAGGGTCACACTGTCGTCACAGTCCTCTGTGACGGCGCCTACAGATACGCCGACCGGCTATTCTCGCGCAAGTGGCTAACGGAGAAGAAGCTTCTGGGGGCCATCCCCAAGCACCTGGAGAAGTACATTGTTCTACCATAGAAGGTGCCATGTTGTACAAAAAAAGCTAGGTGTTACAGAGTAAATTGTACATGGTCAAACATTAAAATATATTTTTCATGCCTCTGCCTTCGCCTCTACCGACCACTGAGGCTCCCGGCCTGTCGTCAACGTGTATGTCTCGGCCCATCTTTCCAGATAGCGTTCGTCGGCCTCGACAAACTCCTTAAGGTGCTGCTCCAGTGCGTCCCGGATGGGCGTCAGGTCCTTGGCAGCGTCACCGAGGATCTCCTGGGCCAGCTCCATGCCCTTGATGTTCTGAGCCAGCGTGAGGATATAGAAGTTGACGGCGAGGTGGTCGTTCTTCTTCTCGTTCTCCTTGGTAAAGGGAGAGCGGGGGTTCAGGTCGGCGAGGACGGGGGAGTTGAGCAAATCGTCAGTACCGAGGCGAGTCCAGGAGCTGGTGATGGACTCGACGTTGTCCTTGAGAGCCTGCACGTCAACCTCTTCTGAGCTCTCGGCCGCCTGCTGCGCCTTGATGGAGGAGGCTCGGGCGTAGAGGAGCAGTCCTTGGACAACGGGGGACTTGTGTAGCCGTTCCGTGGCGCCGGGTTGCTTGGTCTTGTGCTCTGGTCGTTGAACAAGGTCCAGAACCAGCTCAATCCACCTCAGAGCCTGCGCAGACTCGTTCGCCTCCCCGCTTGGCGAAGTGATCTTGTTGTTGATGCTCGCCAGAAGGAGAACAAGGTGGTTCTTCCTCGCAAAGCGAAGGCCGGTCTTGTTTGACTGCATGGCGCACTCAATGATGGCATAGGTCTGCTTGCTCTGCCCCGCCTTGCGGATGATCTTGTCGTAGTGGTAGTTCTGCAGGCGGATGGCGGCCTTCTTGTAGCCGGCGAGCAGGGTGCCGAGGTTGTCCCAGTCCTCCTTGGTCTTCATGAGGTTCAGGGCGTCCGTGAGGGCCTTCTTGGAGTTGGGGATCTCTTTGAAGCGGTCGATGGTGGTGAACTTGTGCTCGAGGCCGTCGAGCTCGATGACGACGGGGTTCTGCTGGATGAAGGAGCGCATCTTGGGGTCGAAGATGAGCTTTTGCTGCTTCTTGGGGAGGTAAGCCGGGAGAATGATCTTTTCCTGGATCTCTCCGAGGACATCGTTGAGCTCTGTGTTTTCGGTCTTGGAGAAGATGGCACTCAATCCTACAATATTTAGCTACGGTCAGAAGGACCTTTCATGGTAACATACCATAGGCGGGGGTTGAGCTGAATTGACGGGCTGAAAGCGAAGGGACTCGTAGGTTGGCCAGTGGCCGAGCCACAGACGCCAATGATCTCTTGACCATTGTGATTGACTGAGGGGAGGATGATATATGAGGCTATACAAAGTGACCCAGCCGTGATCCGTCTTGAGTGGTTCTACTTTCACAGAGAAAAATGGACGGAGAAACTGTGGGGCCGAGCCAATCACACGCAGGAATTGGCATGCGGGACGTTGGGAAGCTCCAGAAATTCCAAGCGTCGGATCAACCTCGAGATATCTACTCTCTGTACACGACAAGCCACAAATTCACAATGAACGTCGCCAGCGTGGGACGGCCGGTCGGCTGTCTCAAGACGGCCCTTCGACGGACGAGATTCCAGAGGTCGTTCCAGCGGTACAACTCTTCGGCCAGCCTGGAGCCCAGAAAGTCGACCGAGGTCCAGCCTCACTTCAAGAAGGCTTTCAAGAATGCCTTTAGCGCTGAACAACGTACGACTCGTCCATTTCATCCTCGTCTCAGTATACAGAATTAACATTGTACAGGGGCCGACATTGCCAAGGTCAACAAGTTCCAGATCTACCCTCAGGTCCCTACCATCCGCTCAACGCACCCCGACCCGATGCCCGCCCTCCTCGACAAGCAGATCGCCAAGCTGGACCCAACAGGGGCACGCACACGACTCTTCTCCAAGGAGCACGCCGACAGCGCCAAGGTGGGCGACGTGCTGATGGTGACGACCAAGACGGGCGAGCCGTTCGCGGGGGCCTTTATCCAGATCCGACGCCGGGGCCAGGACACGGCGATCCAGCTGCGGGGACAGATGATGAAGGTGGGAGTCGAGATGTGGTTCAAGATCTACAGCCCGACGGTGACGGGCATCGACATCATCTGGAGACGGCCCAAGAGGGCGCGCCGCGCGAGGTTGACGTACATGCGCAAGCCCAAGCACGACATGGGCAGCGTGGACCAGCTGGTGTTTGCATGGAAGAAGGAGAGGTACACGCTGCGGTCTCGGGCGAAGCAGACTGGACATGGGCAGCAGAGGAGGTGAAAGTTGGCAGGGAATATGGATGTATGATATATGATGTATTAGAGTCTATAAATGGACGTGTACCATCATCATATGTGTTTCGATGTGAGAAGGCATCCATTGCACGTTGAGATCCATAGTGCACGGGTAGGTACTTGGTTGGGTATTGTGTTTTGGATCAACTGAACTTGGTTAACATGCGATCCATATCATCTGTGTTTTCGATTTTCACCCATGAACTGTGTATGGAGATTTAACAACCATGATGCCTTCATTACTTTCATCCAGAGGTAAATGGATTATTTATTGTTTCATCTAGTCTACGAAGTAACTAACTAAATATCCATAAGTTGACAATCCAAAATCCAAGATTTCCGCTCATCGACATTTGATGTAGGGTAACCGTACTCACTTGACGTCGAGGCAGAATGCAATATTCCAACCCCTTGCTTAAACTCTCCGGTCTCACTTCAAGGGCAAACTTGGCTGCTCTTGGCTATTATTAGGACGTGGTCTCAACAATGTCAGGCGCCACAGTTAAATTGAGTTGAAGAATGATTTAAGCAGTTAATGGTTAGGAGGGTTGCAGCGAAACTATTCATGTCCGGATTTAATTGAGAAACTGAAGATGGCACGGTCTCTGTCCCAAAATAGACAAACCTACAATGCATGATAAAGAGGTTTCGCGAAACGTTTCAAGAGACCTCCCTCAACGGTCTAGCTCTCACATAAAACTCAAACTCCCCGGAGGGATTCAATAATGAACTACCCCTTCCGAAACCGAAACGTCGAGTTGACGCCATGCAGCCGCTGATCGACCCAGAGCGTTTCCCACGATGACAGGGTCCACCCCTGAATGAACGGCATGAGATGGCGTGCCGCATTGAATTTCTGGGGTTTCCAATGAGCTGACTTTCAACGGACGAGTCGCAACAGTCGAGAAAGCTTCAAAGGATGTGCTCAGGTTTCAGAGGAGGACAAAGAGGGAGCTCAGAATCTCCAGACCAGCCCGTGTGCAATGTCTCGTCCACGTCGCGAGGGGATAGCACAAGGCATGGAGTTTATGCGAGGAGGTCTTGATTGCATGAGGCGTGCGAACCGAACCTGTGAGGGGATGGCCTCAGTGGAGGAAGATATAATCCCAACCACCCAAAGTCGTGTCTCTTTTCACGCAAGCATGCCCAAACCAACCCGAGAAGAACGCGTATACATTACGATTGCGTGTAATTTCAATCTCGACCCAAAAAAGCCACCTTTGATATTTGACAGAGTGGGTTTTGCTCTTGACCGCAATATCGAATTTCTGCCCATTTCATTTAAACAGACCAGGGCACCAACACGAATCGACAGCCGAAATCGCCGCTGTCGTTGTCGACGAGGGGCAGGGGTTCGCAGAAGAGACCAGCCCGCTAACCAACAGGGCAAAACGCTAGAACCAGTTAGGACCCTCTAAAAAAATGGCCGCCGCCGCTGGGGATCCCGCCGTCCAGGGCCTTCAGGGGAGGGGGAGGAGGCAGCCATCAGTGCTGCCGCTGCCCCTGCAGCCCGGCAACGAGAGGTTCCCCGATTTTTGTTTACACGGCGCCGAGTATAGCAGCGACGACGCCTATTGCTCGAACCAGCAGGAGCCTGCACATGGGCCTGGGCATCATCAGCACTTGGAGAACCCAGACGACATTTACCACCCGCATCATCACCAGAAGCATCAACATCGTCTCAGCCAACAGCAGCAGCAGCAGGATACCCCCGGTTCACCTTCTGGTTCACCATCTGCATCGTCCCGCTTGTCGTGCATCTCTACCGTATCCGTCTCATCCTCCAGATACTCGTCCGCTTCTTTCGAGTCGGCCTCATCCCCTGTCTCCGCATCAACCTCCATCGCCGACGGCCTCTCCTCACGCCCACAATCCTCCTGTTTTCCCTCGCCCGTCGCTGGCCCCGTCGCCCGCTCTCGAACTCTCACAAACACCTCTTCGTCTTCGTCTCCGTCCTCACCGACCCCGCGCAGCCGGCGGGACAAGTCACAACTGCATGCGGCGCGACTGCAACGATCTGGGAGCACAAGTACAAGCATATCGCTGGGCCTCCACAAGGCAAAGAAGCCCTCAAAGTCGCGGAGGTTTTCACCCAGTTCCAGCACCCCAGCTGACGCTCTCGCTGCCGTCGAGCCCCCGCATGATCAAGGCCTGACGAGGATGGCGTTTGCGGAGCAGCAACAATGGGTCAAGGTCCAGCAAAAGACCTTTACAAAATGGTACACGATGATGCCCATTCTCTATCACAGAGGTCACTCGCTGACATGACTCATCGTCTAGGCTCAACAGCAAGATTGAGGCACGCGCCCTCAAGGTTCAAGACCTGGTGGAGGATCTGAGCGATGGTGTAGGTTGACGATGCGCACCCCCCAAGCTTGATACTGACGTTTACCAAGGTCATTCTCATTCACCTCCTCGAATGTCTTTCACACGAGTCACTCGGTCGCTATGCCTCAAAGCCCAAGCTCAGAGTTCAAATGTTTGAGAATGCCAACCTGGCGCTCGACTATATCAAGTCCAGGGGCATCCAGCTGACAAACATTGGCGCCGAAGATGTCGTCAACAGAAACCAAAAGATCATACTGGGTCTCATTTGGACTCTCATTCTACGCTTCACCATCAATGACATCAACGAGGAGGGCATGTCGGCCAAGGAGGGTCTCCTTCTCTGGTGTCAACGAAAGACGGCGTGTTACGACGAGGTCGAGGTTCGAGACTTTAGCGCCAGCTGGAATGACGGTTTGGCCTTCTGCGCTCTCCTGGATATTCACCGACCCGACCTGATCGACTACGACGCCCTGGACAAGTCAGATCATCGAGGCAACATGCAGCTAGCATTCGATATCGCACATAAGGAGATTGGTATCCCCAGCCTGCTGGATGTGGAAGATGTGTGCGATGTGGCCAAGCCTGATGAGAAGAGTTTGATGACGTACATCGCCTACTGGTTCCATGCCTTCTCGCAGATGGAAAAGGTGGAAAACGCTGGACGCCGTGTCGAAAAGTTTGTCAATAACATGCAAGGCGCCTGGGAGATGCAGAGTGCCTACGAGCGGCGGATGCGAGCCTTGCTCAAGGCCATCCAAGAGAAGATCGAAGGGTGGAAACAGTCCAAGTTTGAGGGAACCTATGTCGACGCAAAGGCTCAAGCAAACCAGTTCGCCGAGTACAAGAGGGGTCTGAAGAGACAATGGGTTGCTGAGAAGAGTGACCTGGCGACTCTACTAGGCAACATCAAGACAAAGCTGGGCACATATCGCTTGCGGCCGTACGACCCTCCGGCCGAGTTGAGTCTGGAAGCTCTCGAGAGAAAGTGGGCGGAGTTGGCATCTGCAGAGATGACACGCGCCCAGCTCATCAACGAGACAATCCGAGAGTGAGTGGATTTGTCGTGTAAACACTTGACCCCTGACTAACAGTGTATAGCATCAAGAACGCCCTTCGCAAATCATTTGCCGACAAGGCAAACGACTTTGCAATGGCCCTCAACACTATGCAACTGGCACTTTCTGGCCTCGACGGCGATGTCGAAGACCAGCTACACCACGTGAGGAAGCTGAGCGAGAGCCTAGCACCCTTGGACCAATATCTCGAGAAGATTGCGGTGGTGGACGAAAAATGTCAAGAAGCCAACATTGAGGAGAACGACTTTACTACCTATACATACGACGAACTTGTATACGAGCTCGGCCTTGTCAAGACGTCGGTGCAGAAGAAGCTTGCCTTTTTGGAGAACCAGATGGTGGCGCGAAGCATGACGAACCTAACACCTATTCAGCTGGAAGAGTTTGAGAGTGTCTTCCGTCACTTTGACCGCGACGACACAAACTCCCTACAAGAGCTCGAGTTTAGCGCGGCCCTTGCATCACTCGGACTGGTATTCTCCGAGGACGAGATGCACGACTACTTTGTCGAGACCTCCAATGGCCGCGAGTATGTCACATTCGAGCAGTTTATCCGCTTCATGGTGGATGTAACTGAGGATCAGAACACGGCGGAGCAAGTGTTCCAGTCGTTCCGAGAAGTGGCAGACGGCAAGCCATATGTGACAGAGATGGACCTACGGCATAGTCTGGTGCCGGACGAGGTGATTGACCAACTGGTTGAGATCATGCCAGAGCACAATGGACCAGACATGTCAGAGGACCGGGGGATGCCGCAGTACGACTACATCAGCTTCATGGAGAAGCTCATCAACGATCAACGAGACGGGCAGGACGGCTCAGAAGCGGCCCTGCAGGACAGGACGAATCTCGAGCAGAGGAGCCCTGTCGCAGAGACACACACGAACGGAGCCTAGGGGGCCAGAAAGGGAAGGTGAGGATCTGATCTGAGCGAGGAACAAGAGGAGGAGGGTATATATCAAGTGCTCGAATCGAAAGTGGGGAGATGAGGTTGAGTAAGACGCTGGATACATGAACCCTTGTCTGACGGAAGGAAATGGAAAGGAAAGGAAAGTGAGGATGTCTCTGCGCAGTGGGAAAAAACAACTGCCCTTGCCTTTCTGTTTGATGCATCTTTTTGGTGTTTATTCTTTTTGGCGGGCGGCGAGGGGGAGGGACGGGGAGGGCTCTTGGCTTTGGCAAATGGATATCCCTTTGAGTTATACCGGAGAGTGTATTGATTGATTAGGATGGATGGATAGGCGGCATTGCCCTCTTGGGATGTCGTTGTAGTCTTCTTTTTTCATTAATTATTCAGGGGTCGAGGCTTTTGATAGTCGAGATTCTGTTATTTACTTTACTTTACATTACATTGCAAGTTTGAATCATGATGATGTGCCCATGTCTCATGAGGTTGTTGCTGAGTCGCCAAGAATGGGGGCGCAATATCATGCCTCTTCGGTTATTTTTCTGACAACCGGCTAAACAGCTAGAGGTAACAATTCCTCAATTGGGCTGTGTCCGGTCAGTTATTCGCTTTCGCCGCCACCTTTGGCCGGTATTCGCAACAGTTTTCCCCCGCCATTCTCGGTGTTTAAGCTCTTTTCGCCGTGGGACACTAAATACCCCACAGAGACCGAGAGCTGCTGCTGTCACCGGACAAATCCGATAATTGAAACCCCGGCCTTCGGGATTGGAAGGACTTAATTCAGACGACCGGCGGTACGTACTTGCCTGGCGGCACGCTGGCACACACAAACCCGGCCCGATGTTCCAATGTGCCGGTGCCGGCAGGCTCCGCAATCGCCTCTTGCGCCATCCATACAGACGAGAAAAAAAAAAGTCGCGGGGCAACTGTCTTCTCTCGAATGGATAAAGTAGCTTTTCCGCCTCTGCAGGACCTCCAAGGTTCCAATTCGTCTTACACAGAGCTCCAAGCACATCAGCTACAGCTAGAAGGCACAAAACACCAACAATGTCGTCCCGCTCACAGCTCTTCCGCGCCCTGAGGGCACCCACCCGCAGCACCAGAAACTGTCTGTCAGCTACAAGAACGAGAGGAGGCCTCGCCGTCGCTGCTACTGCTCGCGCTGCTCAACCCGTTCGATGCATTGCGACCTCAGCCCCGAGGCTCGTCGTCTCTCCGACCCAGCCTTGCCGGGCTAAGCTGACGGCCGAGACCTACCCGGACCTGGAGCGCGACGCCCGCTTCGCCCAGGTCACTCCCGAGCACGTCGCCCGCTTTCGCGAGATCCTGGGCAACAACCCCTCGGCCGTTATCGACGGAGTCACGGATGGAGGCGCTGCCATTGACGAAGCCGACCTTGAGCCCTTCAACGAGGATTGGATGCACAAGTACCGTGGCCAGGCCAGGCTCGTCCTCCGACCGTCCTCCACCGAAGAGGTCAGCGGTATCCTCAAGTACTGCAACGAGCAGCGTCTCGCAGTCGTTCCCCAAGGTGGAAATACGGGACTTGTGGGAGGCTCCATCCCCGTCTTTGACGAGATCGTCATTAGCATGGCCCGTATGAACGAGATCCGCTCCTTTGACGAGGTCAGTGGCTCCCTCGTCATCGACGCCGGCTGCATCCTCGAGGCCGTCGACTCGTACCTTGCCCAAAGGGGATATATCTTTCCTCTCGATCTTGGCGCCAAGGGGTCGTGCCACGTCGGTGGTAACGTCGCCACCAATGCCGGAGGCCTGCGATTGCTGCGTTATGGCAGCTTGCACGGCACTGTCCTCGGTGTTGAGGCCGTCCTTCCCGACGGTACCGTCATCAACGACCTGTGCACCCTGCGCAAGAACAACACTGGCTACGACGTCAAGCAGCTCTTTATCGGTGCCGAAGGGACTTTGGGTATTATCACAAAGATCGCTATCCAGTGCCCTCAGCGATCCCCAGCGGTGAATGTTGCCGTCTTTGGAATCGAGTCGTATGAGAAGGCTCAGCTCGCCTTCCGTGAGGCTAAGAAGCAGCTGTCCGAGATCCTATCAGCGTTCGAGCTCATGGACGGCCGCAGCCAGAGGATCGTGTCCGAGGTCAAGGGCCAGGAGCACCCCCTCGAGGGCGAGCACCCCTTTTACTGCCTCATTGAAACGAGCGGTTCCAACGGTGAGCACGACTATGCCAAACTCGAGGCCTTCCTCGAGGACGTCATGACTCGCGAGGTGATTGCCGATGGTGTAGTGGCTCAGGACGAGACCCAGCTGCGCAACCTGTGGGGGTGGCGAGAGGGCATCACTGAATGCCTGGGCCACTGGGGAGGCGTATACAAGTATGACATCTCGATCCCCCTCACCGAGATGTACAGCCTTGTCGAGGACACCAAGGCCCGGATGACTGACGCGGGTCTTTTGGGCGATACCCCTGACCATCCCGTTGTGGCTGTCCTGGGCTACGGCCACATGGGAGATGCCAATCTTCACCTCAACATCCCCGTGCGCCGCTACGACCCTGCTGTCGAAAAGGTCCTCGAGCCCTGGGTGTACGAGTGGATCCAGAAGCGCAACGGCAGCATCAGCGCCGAGCACGGTCTAGGAATAGCCAAGAAGAAGTATATCGGCTACAGCCGAGACGAAACCACCATTGGTCTGATGAAGCAGATCAAGAAGCTCTTTGACCCTGTAAGTCTCCCTTGCTCTCCCTTCTCCTTCAGCCCTAAACCGAGCCTGTCGGAGTTTTGCCCCCTCCCATCCTGTTTCTCTGGCGTTAGGGCTGACATCCGCCCCAGAATGGCATCATGAACCCCTACAAGTATATCTGATACCCCGTCTCTTGGCCTCGCACCAAGCGGCAACCCTTCTTACCCACCTGCATCTGCATCTGCAGTGCGGTATGCTGCAGTGGCATCCTCCTTCGCTGGAGGCCTGATTTCCATCTGTAGACTCATGCATCGGGCCCGGCGCACCTGCAATCGTCACCGAGCACGCGGCCAGATGGGTCCATGATGCGCTCTGCACTGCGACATCGCGTCCAGTCTCTTTCTTCGAATGCGATACTGCATCGTGGCTGTGTACGTTCGTCCGGCCCGTGGAGTCACCTGTAGATAGATAGACTCGTCAAGGTAGCCTGCCCTGCGGCAGTCAAATCAAGTATGGTGGCATGGCATCTTGTCACGCAACAAGGATCCGGGTTCGGCCCACTCCCGCGGAACTGTACCGTGATGATCTAGACATGGGATTGTTCGTCAGAGCATCGCTGGTCTGGAAGAATGGTCTCGGGAAACGTGTGTGTGTGCCTGTGTATGGTCGCCCGCCGGCGGCCCATGGCGGTGGGAAGAGACCCAGAAGTGGTACGGAACCCGACACCCTGCTTCTCAACTCAAGCCCCCGCCTCGGGCCACCGTTGACGCCGTGGGCACTTTGTTGTGTGGCTTCTTCAGCTCAATGTCGGTGGTAGCCAACCAGCAGCCATATCGGCCATCCCCTTGCACACCTCCTGGTCAGCCTTATGGGGCTGACGGCGCTAGAAGCACCTTTTCTCCACAGCGCCCCGATGCCCAATGCCGCCGCTATGCCAAAGTTCCCGGGGCATGAAGCCAAGACCATGTGCTTGTCTGGAATCTGTCAACCGATCCACGCTCCCTAACGTGAGTAGGTGGCCCCTCATTGTCATCCCATGCTCTCAGCCCCGATGCCAGACTGTACCAACGTCAACCACCTCGTCATGCCTGTCGTGCCCTGGCCCCTGAGCTGTGCACTCAGTGGATACGTAAGCCACCGTCCCCCAGCCGGCTGGAGTTGGATAGAAGCTCTTGACCCATCTCATTCGCTGTTGGGGGCCGCCCTCATTACCGCACCATGAAACTTTGGCAGGGTAGTTTCCGTGAAGGGAAACATCTTCGTTTCGCTTGGCCGAGCTATCCCCAGGCACGGGAGCCCTCAAGGGGATGTGGGAGATACTATCCCGTATCTTGTGGAGTGATACACTTTCCCTGGGATGCCTCAGCCAGATGTGAGTCGTCGACTATTTAGTTTCAGTGTCGCAGACGGCCTTGCCGAATTCTTGGCCATGCCCCAAGCTCCTCGTTTTCGAACGACTTAGCTCGAACGCACACTTTAACAGCCCTTTCGATCCAGACTCTGCGCATCCAATTCCGACATCCAGACAGCATGGTTGGTGTTCCAGGCAAGTATAAGGGCTGCGAGACTTGCCGAAGAAGGAGAGTCAAGGTTGGTTTGCTGGCAGACTCCTCAGTGACCTATATCCAAAGCTGACAAGCAATCAGTGCAGTAATGAACGGCCATACTGCCAAAAATGCATATCCAGCGGTAGGCAATGTGAAGGGTACGAGAGAGAACGTGTCTTCATCACCGGAACACCCGAGAACAAGGGTCGGGTCGCCTCGCACCCCAAAAAGGGATCTTCGTCCAAAAAACCAAAGTCCTCGGCAGGCGAGAGTTCCTCCACGCTCAATCTGACACCGCTTCCTCCTCTCGCTTCGGCCTGGGATGACCACACACTTGTGTCGAACCAAGGCGTCGAGTATTCGGTCCTTATCAGCGCATTGCACACTGGGCCTCCAACCGTCTTACGGGACAGTTCAGGTCAATATGACTCTGCAGGATTCCACATCATGTTTCCCCCATACACCCCTATGGAGCTGCAGCAGTCCCTGAGTCAAAGAGACTTTCATGTTAGAGCGCAATGCCTAGCGCGTCTGCCTGGCGTCGACGAGCCAGATGACTCTGCAGAGAGCTATTGCATCTTCTTCTTCGAGGTTGGCTCACTGCTCCCGTCAGCACGTCCCGTCCTAAACCTGCTGACACGAGCCAGCACGACTCACCACACGCATTTAGCGAGTCTGGACCACATCAGATGTGGAATATGGGTCCAGCTTACTTCAGCCATTTCCCAAACCACCACTACTTTGTTCGAGTGTATCGACCCTTGGCTGTAAGTCCTAATTGTCTGAATTTTGCTGCTCGTCGTACTGAATGGAACCAAGACCGGTTTCGCTCTCCTGAATCGCCAAGACACGTTTGTGTCGGCTCCAGACTGGAAAACCATCCCGTGGCAGAGGCATCCGAAATGTTCTTTGGACCAGTTATTGGACCTCATTCTCTTCATGCCCACAATACTCGAACAGGTGGACCAGGTTGTGCCATTAGAGGCTACCCTCAGCCGACGTTATCGCGCTCAACAACTTCTTCAGGACTGTCTCTCACTTGAGGGACATTTTGGTGCTTGGCTCCAGTTTGCCGTCCGACCCACTGAAGGATATCCTGCGCCCTACTGGGAAGAGGAGTTGACGAGCCCCGGTGGCTTTATTCCATTTTCCAACTCCTATTCCTTCAGGGATGGAAACACAGGCCTGACTTTCCTGTACTATTGGATGGCACAGATCCTGCTTCACCAATGTATCGAGAGCCTGCACAGAGCCATCTGTCAGCCCGTCATCGATGCGTACCCCAATATGTGGCCCGATTTGCCACCTGACCTTCAAATCGACATATCGAGGTACCAGCATGGCCGTGTATTTGCTGCAGATATTTGCCGTGGGCTTGACTCGGTCCTCGACAACACGGTGCAGCCGGATATGCTAATAACACCAATGACGGTAGCAATAGATTTGTACAGAGAAATCAATGCAACATCGCAGGACGGCCTGATGGAGATAATGTGGCTGGACAACTTTCGCTCGAGGCTGGTGGAAAAGGGACAGCATGTTGCTGGTGTCCTGCAGAGACAAAGATGGGCCGTAGTTGCGAGCTTTTGACCAAGGAGAAGGTGTCCAGGCTTGATAGGTTGAGGAATCCATTCCCCCCTTCTTGCTCATGTCGAACAAGAGTCGAAACACTTCAAGCTCCTGCCCCATACTAGGAGAAAAGCAGCTGGTCTGCAGGGATATTGATGATTCATGTCGGGTTTTTAGTTGCAAGATGAAGAAATAGACACTGATAGAACTGGACAAAGTGAAAAAAGAAGGCGATGAAATATAGGTCGGATAGATGACTTCAAAAATTGACAAGAGCCGAGTTGGTTGATAGTGGTTCATATGATGAAACCCAATCGATATGAACGAACCAAGGCAGGGGCCGTGGGACAGTGCGTAAAGCCGTGTGAGTTTGGGCAAAGACAGTGTGGCGGCCCCGCCACTACCTTTATCCGGGACCACTCCCCTCGCTAGCACTGGCGCTGGAGCTCCAGCTCTCAGCCTTCCGTAGGTGCCAGGCAGGCTGCAGTTCTGACGAAGCTACCCCAGCGGCTCAACGTCAACATCCACCATCAACCTGACCCAGCGCCAACCCTTCAACTCTCCGCCCTCACTCCCCGAACCGGTGTGTCGAATTCATCCTCCACAAACCCTTCCACCATACGACGCATTTCTCCCCAAACCTAAATCATGGCCTCCGGATACGACAGAGCTCTGTCGGGTGAGTACTGACAGTGTTCCCCATTCATGATGCATAGCTAACAACGGGGACTAGTTTTCAGGTTTGTATCTCTTTACTGGCTTCGTTGCAGCATTCTAACACATCGCCAGTCCCGATGGACATGTCTTCCAGGTCGAGTATGCTGGAGAAGCTGTGAAGCGAGGTGTGTATTAGACTCCAGGGCGACGGTATTATCATCACGGCTCACACCTCGATAGGAACCTGCGCAGTTGGTGTCAAGGGTACCGATGTTGTGGTGCTGGGATGTGAGAAGCGATCGGCCATGAAGCTGCAAGATACTCGGATCACGCCCTCCAAGATCCAACTCCTCGACAACCACGTCGCCCTGGCCTTCGCTGGCCTCAACGCAGACGCCCGAATCCTCGTCGACAAGGCGCGATTAGAGGCGCAGTCTCACCGTCTCTCAGTTGAAGACCCCGTCACCATTGACTACATTACCAAATACGTCGCCGGTGTGCAGCAACGGTACACCCAGGCTGGTGGTGTGCGACCATTCGGCATCAGCACCTTGATTGTTGGATTTGATAATGGCAGCAAGGTCCCCCGACTCTACCAGACCGAACCCTCTGGTATCTACTCTGCATGGTAAGGTCCTTCAAGCCGCAGTACGTGGCCTCATGCTGACTGTAGATTTAGGAAGGCGAATGCTATCGGCCGTTCCAGCAAGACTGTGCGCGAGTTCCTCGAGCGAAACTACAAGGAGGATATGGACCGGGAGGCTACCATCCGACTGGCTATCAAGTCCTTGCTCGAGGTTGTCCAGACCGGAGCCAAGAACATCGAGATTGCCTTGATGGCACCTGGCGCCTCTATCGAGACACTGCCCACGGCCGAGATTGAGGGTTACGTGAAGGAGATTGAGCAGGAGAAGCAGGAGGAGGCTGCCAAGAAGAAGACTGGCAGGACCCCAGGCACTGGAACTGCGGCTATCCTGACCAGATCTCAAGATGATTCTGCTGCGGAATAGAGGGGAGTTTGGGAAGAAATCGCATAGACCAGGGCATCTAGACTCCAAACTAGAACCCAGTGCCATTGTATCAACACAATAATGACGGGACGCGTTCTATTAGGCTGTTTCCCCGTGCAAGTGACAAGTCGCTATGAATCCTCAACGCCATACATATTTCCATTTCTTATTCTTTACCCATCATCCCAACTTGTCAGCATCCTCGTTCGGGTCGAAGATGGATCTCAAACCGCCCTGCTTCTTCCTGTCGTCCTTGAGCATCTTGCTGTTCATTCGCACATCGTCGCTCTCGATGGACAGAGCAGCCTTGGGGGTCTTGGCATCAATAATGAAGTGGTTATCGCAGTGGGGGCAGTATTCGTCGGCCTCTTCGAACTCGGTGGCGTCCTTTCGGAAGCACTTCTTGCACTTTTTGCAGGCAAAGGTCATCTCGAAGGCCTGCATGAGAGGGTGGGATTCCTGCTCGGTGTGGCACTCGACGCAATCAAACCATTTCTTGCCTAGACATGTATGTGTTAGCTTCGAGGGTGTTGTCATATGAAAGCTTGTGGCTTGGTCGTACAGCAAGGCGACCGGACGGCGACTTGGGCGTTGAGAATATGCTTGCTAATATCATGGAGTTAGAGGCTGTGACTGTAAAATCCTGGGCGCAGCTCGTACCACATGGTGGATACTCTTGAAGGAAGATTCGGATTTCTCAATAGGTTATATAAAGTATGCGAAAAACAAAACTCGATTTCAAGGTCGTGATGGTATGAGGTTTAGTTCGTTCACCGGTAGGTTCAAATAGAAGTCGAGACTTTGGCGGGGTCTTCAACTTTTGGGAGCACCTCAGGCCCCTGACCTCGCGCCGCGCTAAAAATTGGGTGTTTCTCCGTGCTGACTCCAGGCAGCGTGATCCCCTTAGTCATCATTCATCATTGAGGCAACACTTCAAGGCTGATTTCAACCCTCCCATCTCTCCAACGCATCTTCCCCAACAACCCACACTCGCTCCTCCACGCAACATCGCCAACTCCGATTCGCGCTGTACGGAAGTCGACCAACATGCCTCCGAAGAGAAAAGCGGGCGGCGCCGTTCAGGGCGGGGCAAAGGTTGGCAGGTCCTCGCGGTTATCGACACCAGGAGCCGCGACGCCTCGAACCATCGATAGTAATGACGAGAATCTGATGGAGGAGGATGACGCCCCGATCGACGAGGCCCTGGAGCGGGATTTGAATAAGAACATAGACATTTTCTCCCTGGATCGCTACCAGAAGAGACATGCGATTCGGGATCCGCTCCCGCATATTTTTGGCGATCGTGACTTTTCCTACCTGGTTCTCAAAAAGGACCATCAGAACCGCCCTCTCTGGATCGATCCTCAGAAGGGACGCATTATTCTAGAGAGTTTCAACCCTCTTGCCGAGCAGGCCCAGGACTTCCTCATCACCATCGCCGAGCCGCTGTCCCGGCCGACTTTCATGCACGAGTACGCCTTGACGACCCATAGTCTGTACGCTGCCGTCTCCGTCGGCTTGTCTCCAGAAGACATCATCAACACGCTGGATCGATTCCTCAAGACTCCACTACCAGGCGAGATTCGAAACTTCATCACCAGCTGTACACAGAGTTACGGCAAGGTCAAGCTGGTTCTGAAGAACACAAAGTACTATGTCGAAAGTCCCGATCCCAATATGCTCCAGACTCTCCTCAAGAACCCAAAAATTGGCCCTCTGCGTGTTCAGGGAACGGAAGAAATCACCACCACTGTTGCGCCCAAGATTGGTGGTCTTGTTATCCCCGGAACACAGAACGCTGCTGGAGTGAAGCAGGCTAATGGCCTCGGTCAGTCCGGCGAGCAAAAACAAGATGATGCGCCGGCCAAGGAGGGAGACGTCTTTGCCGACCTCAACGAGGAAGATGATGAAGATCAGGAGGTGACACACTCGTTCGAGATTGCCGACAAGGACGTGGAGACAGTGCAGAAGGAATGCCTGAACCTGGGATATCCAGTTCTGGAGGAGTACGATTTCCGACGTGACGAGGTCAACGCCAATTTGGATATCGACCTTAAGCCCGGCACGCAGATTCGACCGTACCAGGAGAAAAGTCTGAGCAAGATGTTCGGAAATGGACGAGCGAAGAGCGGACTCATTGTTTTGCCTTGTGGCGCCGGCAAGACACTTGTGGGCATTACGGCTGCTTGCACGATCAAGAAGGGTGTCATTGTCCTCTGCACGAGTTCTATGTCGGTCGTGCAATGGCGAAATGAATTCCTCAAGTGGTCTAACATCAACCCTGACGATATTGTCGCCTTCACCTCGGATTCCAAGAACAACGTCTTCACTGGAAGCACCGGTATCATTGTCACAACCTACGCCATGGTTACGCAGTCGAGAGCGAGATCTTATGATGCCGAGAAGATGATGAGGTTCCTGACGGGTCGGGAATGGGGTTTGATGCTGTTGGACGAGGTGCACGTTGTCCCCGCCAACATTTTCAGAAAGGTCACGTCGTCGATCAAGACACATTCGAAGCTGGGTCTTACGGCCACGCTCCTGCGAGAAGATGACAAGATTTCGGATTTGAACTTTTTGATCGGACCTAAGCTCTTCGAGGCCAACTGGATGGAACTGTCCAAACAGGGCCACATCGCGAGGGTCCAGTGTGCCGAAGTGTGGTGCCCAATGCCTACCGAGTTTTACGACCAGTATCTCAAGGCACCCAGCAGGAAGAAGGGCCTTCTCTATATCATGAACCCACGCAAGTTCCAGGCCTGCCAATACCTCATCAACTACCACGAATCGCGAGGAGACAAAATCATTGTCTTCTCAGACAATGTGTATGCCCTCAAGGCGTACGCCCTCAAGCTACAAAAGGCGTTCATCTACGGTGGTACCGGCCAGGCAGAGCGTCTGCAAGTGTTGGAGAACTTTCAGCACAACCCTAACGTCAATACGCTATTCCTGTCCAAGATTGGTGATACCTCTCTCGACTTGCCCGAGGCAACCTGTCTGATCCAGATTTCCTCGCATTACGGTTCACGTCGTCAGGAGGCGCAGCGACTGGGTCGAATTCTACGAGCCAAGCGAAGAAATGACGAGGGCTTCAATGCCTTTTTCTACTCGCTCGTGTCCAAGGATACACAGGAGATGTACTTCTCATCCAAGCGACAGGCTTTCCTTGTCGATCAAGGATATGCCTTCAAGGTGATTACGCAGTTGGCCAATATTGAAAAGACTCCTGGCCTAGCGTTCGCAGACGTGTCAGAACGCCGTGAGCTCTTGCAAAAGGTGCTTGTTGAGAACGAGAGCATGGAAGAGGATGATCCCAACGACGATCTCTTCCATCAGGGCACTATGGGACGCAAGAAGAAGAAGAAGGGTGCCCGACGCACAGCCGGAACCCTCGGGGAGCTCAGTGGAGGCCAGGACATGGCATACATTGAGCAGAACAAGAAGATGCAGACACTCAAGAGGAACAAGAAGGACAGCAATGCCTTCTTCAAGAAGATTGGACGAGAGAATGCCAGACGCGCCGCGGCGCAGTAATAGACACACAGTTGGAAAAGAGACTACATAAGCGGGTACGGGTTGGGCAAACCAAAGATTGACAAGACACAGGTTTCGGGAGAACGGGCGTAATGGAGAGATTGGAGAATCGTATCGTATCGTATAGTAACATCCGCCTCGGAATGTCTTGGAGGCGCAAGGGACGGGGAAGACTCGGCGTTTAGGAAAAGGGAGCGGCACACGGAAGCCCGCTTAGACTGCATCATGTATTCTCATTGTACTCCGTACCAAGCAGATCAAAGAAAAATGACGTTTGAAACCAGGATGATGGTTCCGGCGTGATGTGATGATCATGTTGGAGTTGGCGGGGATATATGATGTGGAAGTATAGTGCCGGCTGGCGTACCGGTAATACGGCGATACCGGAAGGTAGTCAACGACAGACTGTATTGAGTAAGACGGCGCAGTAAAGGGGGTTATCGAGACATGCAAGCGAGGCATCACACCACAGGCGGTACTGCGGCACAAACCCATGATGCGGTGCCTGGGTGAGCATTTGTCAAGATGGTGGTGTAGCAATAACAACGATGGACGTCAAAGACAACTCAGATGCGATGTGCAGATAGCGTCCCTTCAGCTGTTTTAGAGTCAAAGCCCAGTTGGAGCTGGGACCTTTTAGTGCCGAGTTAGTGAACCGGGGAGAAAAGCTTGGCGATACTAGGGCTGAGGTTTGGGATGCATCCATCTCGGAACCTCGATAAAACACGTGGGCTACACCAACACAAGGTGGCTTGATATGCTGTGTTTGATGAGATGGCGGTGGACATTGAATACCCTGTCAATTCGAGGGTCCAGATTCGTGGCTGCTCAATCTCATCATGTCTCGGAGCTGCTCGAGTTTGTCGTCGCCTAGTGTCGTCTCCGGCATCCGCGGCGCTGGGCCCGGCGAGAAGGATCCGTTGTCATGCAGGACGCTGATGCAAGCGTTCTGCGCGCTTCTTGTCTCAGCTGGTTCGTGGCTTAGAAACATCCATTGGCGAAAACGGCGACGCCGGGAGAGTGGAGGAGGTCCTGCAGGAGGAAAAGAGCGGTGACATCACAGCTTGTACCATCTTCTTAATGTTTATCTCTGCTGTAGAATAGAATTGCCGCAAGATATCCATCCTGGATGCCGATAATGTTGAAGATGCATGGATTGAAGGATAAATCTTGGCTACGTCAAGGAGTTGTATTGGGGGCGTTAGCTTGCGAACGTCCATTGTGCTGGGACAGCCAAACCACCCGAGAAACGGCCCTAATATTGAACAGGGGGTCTAGGGTTTTTAGCCGTTGGCGTTTTTCAGCAGCCCCTTGGCTTGGCTGCTTTGAGCGTAGACGGTTGAGAACAGTGTTTTGCTGCCATTTGGCTTCCCGGGGAGAATATTGCGCTCTTGCGACAATCTCAATCAAGATCTCGTCTTCGGATCCGGGCTGCGGTTTCGTCAGGGATCATGTCTGGTATCTGCGTTGGCTCATGGAAATAGCAATTCAGGCTTGATTGCAGGCTCTGCCATTGGCCCGATAAAGGATTGGCAATACGACAAGGGCCGCTGCAGGTCTCACTCGACGCACAGGGAGCAATGCGAACACCCCTAGCGAACATCTCGAAGCTGTTGCGCCGCGTTTGCTTGTGTAGATTTCATGGAGCGCGCCTGCGGGTCTGTGACGTTTCCCCAATCAATGGACCCGTCCCGTCGGGGTAGTCGGAGACGTGGAAGCAATTTCGTCTCTGATGGAATACGCTGCTTGGCGTCATCGGATCAGCAGCCATCAGAATCCAAACCAAGATTGCCAATCAGGAAGAGCACGCACGTGTCAGTACTGCGGGCGTTTGCAACGGCGTTCTCCTCCCGCCCGGAAACGGACGTTGGTGGGTGAATTGAGCATCATGTCAGGCTTGGTAAGTTTGTGAGCTCTCACTTTGCAGTCTCCTTACCGTGCATCTCGTCTCGTCTCGACCCATTGAGCACAAGACCTCGGGGCTGTCCTGTCGTGTCGAGACTGTGGCATGGATCCTGACCAGGACCGCTAATAAACACCAGCGCCAGGCGACGGTTTACCGGTGCCGGGGAACTCTCCCCGAGAAGTGGATGATAAGGTCTGCCTCACCTTGAGTTGTCGGATTTTCGCCGCCGCCGGGTCCAAGCCCCATATGCCCTGCACTGCACGCATCTACTATCTCGCCAACAACCCCGGCCCCGGCCCTGTCAATGCCGCGCGTGCTTGCCTGGTGGGAACCACTCCTTGCTGTGCCTGGATCGCCATGGGCCCAACCCTTGGCTTGGATATCTTGCCTGCCAGGTTTAGACGGCCGGGTGCTTCTGGATCTGACTCTGTCTCTCGCCCCTTGCCGCCCAAGACCCGGCACCTTGCTTCGCTTTGGTCGTCAAGGTTGCCGTGGTATGCATGGATATCCCAAGTCCTTTGACCAGCAGCGGCCGTCAGTGACGCCCTCGTGCCTCGATGGCGGATCCCGAGTCGTCGCCGTCTTTGTCTCTGTTGACTCCCGGGTGCCCGTTGGGTGCTCTTGGCTGTGTTTTGTGTTTGGCTCCCGTTTTGTAGCGTCGAGGTAATCAGGCATATCGTTGTTGTTGAGGACGGGAGGTGGGTTTGCTCGTTTCCCACAATAATTTTCTTTGATCGATCGAAACCAACCTAATATTAGACTGGAAGGGATCGCTCTCGCCGTTTACCTACCTCTATCCGTTCTTACCTCAGGCAACTCCAGTGTCCCCTTTCCAGGTTCCTTCCTCCTCTCCTTCCTTTATCAACAACGTGGGCAGCCTCTGATGTGAACTCAACCTTCACAACATCACACCTTGAATCATATTCCATTTCACCTTTGATCCTCCATCACAAATCCTCACCTCTTTCCGTGAATCCCTTCCAATTAAACATGCTACTTCTCGAGAAACTTCAGCGCCTCGTGTCCTCGGTCTGGGCACTCCTCTCCTAGCCTAGCTCCTCGACTAGACTCTAGTCGCCGCACCTGGTTCCATCTCTCACAGCCACCACCATTTTATTTACCCTTTACGACCACCATCAACCGACTGGCCAGTCGCAGTCCCTCAGAGACTCACCCGTCATCTCGTGATTCACTGCACGAATTCCCCTTCTACCCGCTCGTCTCCGCCTTGGCAAAAAACCTTGTTGCTGGTGTAAATCACCAGTCTCCTCTCCTGCTCCTGCGCCCCTCCATCAGAGACCCTCTTGCGCCATACATAGCCGTCGCAATGGCTGTCCGTCCTTAGCCTGAAGCTCGGCGGCCAAGCAAGCGATCCCATCCTTGAACCCAAATATCCTGGGCGATCCTCTTCACAAGCTCCCCCCCTGTTTTCTTCTTCCTTTCTTCCATTGTTCACCATCAACCAACCCTTCTGCTGGTTATTCTTCTCCCTTTACCTCACGAGAGATGCTAGACGGGGCGCGCGCCTCTTTTTGGGCGCGGCTCAAGGCTGTCAAGCCTCCGTTTGTTTCCAAGAAGCCGCATTTCAATTTCATTTCTGTCCATTGTAAGTCCAATTCTCCCTCGACCACTGACATGCATCCCCCACGTGGGAGTGCGTTTCTTGTGTTCCCATCCCCCGGCACTTGACATCGAATGCCAAGTCCTCTGTCTAACCTTCACGAATTATAGATACGTGGATTATTGGTGCAACCTTGATCGCTTCCATTGCCATCTACGCCGCAGGTCGCGGCACCACCCAATATGTCGACGCCCTCATGTTCGCCAGCGGCGCCAATACCCAGGCCGGTCTCAATCCTATCGATGTTAACCTCCTGAACACCTTCCAGCAGGTGGTTGTCTACGTCTTCACCATCACATCCAATCCGATCACACTGCATACCTCGGTCGTATTTCTGCGTCTCTACTGGTTTGAAAAGAGATTCCAAGGCTGGGTCACAGATGCCAGGCAACGTCGCACTACTATCTCCAAATCAAAGTCTCGCGCACGTAGCGAGGTCCGTCAGGCCGAGGAGGGAGTCAATGGCCGGCATATCACTGTCGTGCCTCACCAGGGCCGACCACCGCGCATCACCAATGACGGAATCTTACTCGACGGGGACGCGATGATTCAGTCCCAGGCCATTGAGGACGATGACGACGATGACCACATGCCGCCTAAGCCACCACCAGCCAGTAGCGACGAGAGCGATACGGCAACCGTCTCAGCCGGGCGGTCCAATAGCATGGAGCTGAGCCCTCTGGAGAAGCCCGATCAGGCATTCGAGGAGGACAGGGATAGACGCATGGAGGGGCAGGGCCAGCCGCAGAATGCGCCCGCAGGAATCACATTCGCAGAGACGGTGAAGAGGAGCGATGGTATCGACGACGAGCTTACCAAATTTCCTCGGAGGACCCATGCCGAGCACATTGCCATCCTGGAGCGCCAGAGAAACCAGGACAATGAGGTTTTGCGAATTCCTGGTCCGCGCGAGACCGAGAGAGGCATGGGACCGCGACGACTTGATGATGGTGATGCAAGAGACGGAGACGACGATACCATTGCTATGACACACACACGAGACTCACGACAAGATCAAGCAACCATTGACTCGGGGCTCCCCCGCGAACGCAGACCGACCATTGTTATTGCTGAGCCTGAACGTCCCATCAGGGAGGAGTTGGCTGATGATGCCAAGGCTGTTGGTGGCACTCTTGATTCTCTCAGGTTCCGCAAGCCTAGAATTTTCAACCGCGGCCAAAAGCAGGTCCATGAAGACAATGAGAGCGGCGGACCCGTGCGCGCTTTTCGGACTCGTACATTGGATACCATCAAGTCAGCCTGGTCCAACGATCACACCAAAGACATGCCCTACCTGAGTTACACGCCGACTATGGGTCGCAACTCCAACTTTGTGGGCCTAACCCTTGAACAACGAGAGGAATTGGGTGGAATTGAGTACCGGTCTTTGAGGACTCTAGCTCTGATCTTGCTTTGCTACTTCTGGGGATTTCAGTTTCTTGCTGCAACCTTTCTGCTCCCCTTTATTCTTCA